AGGTGGACTGGTAATTTGGAAACATCTCGCATTATTTATGAGAATTTTGAGGCTATTGGTGAAGTATTATTTTACTTTTCTAATAGAACTTTTAATTCCGAGGTTTCAATTCATGATTCAGGCGAAGCCTCTGGTCTTTTATCTCAATGTATTAATATAAATTACATTATATTAGCCATCATAATTTATGAGATATTAATTACAATAGATCTACTAAATAAATATCTACAATCAGTAGGTACTAATCTAATGGATGCTAAAAAATTGTATTGATTCTACTATCAATATAATAAAATATAAAAGAAGTGATAATTCTTTTGCTTTGATTATGATTAAGGCTGAAATACTTTTATCAAAATTTAATCTTACTCCCCAAAAATCATCACGGGTACGTAAAACGCCTAAAAATTTCCAAGATTTTTTAGTTGATAGCAAACTAGAATTCGTTTGTGAAAAAGACTCCAATTGGAGTTCTGTAAAAAAGATATATTATGATAATTATAGATAACTTTATGAATCGTTTTTTAGACCTGTTTCCATATTTACAGTTTAAGAGGGATTTTAATGGGGCCATTTTCATCTGATAAAAAATAATCAGGATCAAGGGGGAACAATGTATTAAAAGATGAAAAAAGATTAAAATCATCTTCTGTAAATCGGTCTAAAAAACAATCCACAAAGTTATCTATAATTATCATAATTTATCCTTTTTAAAGAACTCCAATTGGAGTCTTTTTCACAATCGAATTCTAGTTTGCTATCAACTAAAAAATCTTGGAAATTTTTAGGCGTTTTACGTACTCGTGATGATTTTTGGGGAGTAAGATTAAATTTTGATAAAAGTTTTTCAGCCTTAATCATAATCAAAGCAAAAGAATTATCACTTCTTTTATATTTTATTATATTGATAGTAGAATCAATACAATTTTTTAGCATCCACTAGATTAGTACCTACTGATTGTAGATATTTATTTAGTGGATCTATTGTAATTAATATCTCATAAATTATGATGGCTAATATAATGTAATTTATATTAATACATTGAGATAAAAGACCAGAGGCTTCGCCTGAATCATGAATTGAAACCTCGGAATTAAAAGTTCTATTAGAAAAGTAAAATAATACTTCACCAATAGCCTCAAAATTCTCATAAATAATGCGAGATGTTTCCAAATTACCAGTCCACCTCTGGTCTAAAAGTCTCTTAAGGGTGTGGCTTGTATATTTACAGGATACGTTAAAACGCCTGAAAAAATTATACAATGCATTTGATAAATTAAAAAAATTAGATATAATAACAATATTATTATACCAATTTTGAACCACAAGATGCAACTTGTGGTTGTAGCAATGTATAAAAGGAACATTTTTATTAATTTTTTTTTGAAGAAGTGTTTGCACTCCTCCATTTCGGCCAGACATAACGTTTGCACCATCATATGCCTAGCTTATTATATTAGCTGAATTAATATTTAGATCATGAAGTTGCTTTAAAATGCAATCTATAATGCTTTCAGCAGAAAGACACTCTAAATTAATGATTCCTATTAAATTTTTTTGGATTTCTCCAGAAAAAATATAGCGAATTATTATGCTCAGGTTTTCACAACCTGAAGCATCTTTTGTCTCATCAGCCTTAAGACAAAAAAAAGGCATCTCGCTTTTATTATATTTGTCTGAAATATGTTCAAGCACCATATCTGCCATAATGGATATTACTTCGTTTTGAATCTGTGGTGATGTATACTGGGCAATTTGGGGTATAAATTTCATAATTGTATTTAATTCAGGGTCTTTTTGGATGGTGTAGGAACATTGCTAAAAATATCCCAGAAGAATAAATTATATTTTCATCTTTTGCAGCATCCGTAATATTTGTTGAACCAGTCCCACGGAAAGGTAGCTCTTGTATGCTAAGAAATAGCATCAAATCAAATATTGATTTAATATAATATTGATTACGATTAATTTGATCACCTCCCAACATTTTAGTTATTTCTGTATCTTTGTTTATATTTTGATTTTTATCATGCCATATTGTAATTGAATTTAAATGAGCTTTTGAGCTACTCGTGTTTTAGTAGTCCCTTCTTGGCAGCTAACGCATTTTTCCAATTTCTGAATCCCGTTTGTCCAAATTTATCACTTAGATTACACAAGTATTTCCTACATGGAAAACAAAAGGCAGCGTCAGCTTCTACACTATACTCCAACCAGTCTCGGCCTCTATACCATGATTTTTGAAATGATCTTTGCCTTCCATGGATATCTTTTTTCGCGTAATTGTTTAATTTGATTTGATTTATTCTGGCCAAAATCACCTGGGATTTGAATTGAACCATTAAAGGACTTTTTTGACACTAAAAATATTATAATTAATAAATTGTAATGAGGGAAAGGGTCATAAATAATAATGACCATCAGGATGGGCGAAGGAAGGGCATGCTGAAAATGAACAAACACAAAATTTGTCTTGTATTTAAGATACAAGTATTTGCTATACTGTAGTGCATAACCCTGATGAAGATTATCAGTAAAATTATAGATATTCAGTATTAAAAACTAGAGAAAGGTCATTAACATTATATCTTTAAAGATTAACAAAAAAATAAAATATTTTTATATTTATAATTCAATTACTAGTTGCTTCTTGACAATTATAGACTGAGCTGCTAGATGAAGATGATTGAGTCTCTTCGTCTTTATTTGTTTAAAAATCAAAATGTAATAATGAAACACCATTCAAAAATATATAAATAGAAAAATTTGGGTTAAATTTTAAACTATTTACCATCTTCCTCCTCCTAAGTGTAGTGAGGATCATTTTATAGATTATTAGCTTCATTCATATCTTGAAATATGAGTGAATATATTTATTTTAATAATTAAAATTATTATACAAAAATGATAATATTAATAATAAATGTCTGTCTCTTATCTTATATAAAATAAATATATATAAAATAATAATATATATGTATTGCCCTATATCAATATCATATAAGTCATGAAATAATAATATAAATTTATACTAACTATGAGAAGAATCAGTTTCTGTAATTTCTGATGTAGTATTACTAGTAGTTTGTAGAGGTGATGTTGCTTGACATTTGTTTAACTTTAACTTAAAATAAGAGTTAATAACTGATTGTTTCTTCATAATTTTAAAATAAACGCTGTAAAATAAAATAACTGGTTATATATTATATTATAAATGTGATACAATGTTATAAACAACAAAAACAAATGAAAAAAAATGAATGAATGATAATTTAATATTGGGTAAAAATAAAACAGGATAGAAAAAAATTTACAAACTAGACATGTTTGTAGAATAAATATTCAAAATTTTTTTTAAAAATATATAAATAATCAATTCTAAATAGACATGTTTTTTGAATAAATATTCAAAATTTATATTAAAAATATAAAAATCAATTCTAAAAAAAATTTCTAATTTGGGGGGGGGGGGGCAGGAAATTTTTTGGGGGCCAAACATCTTTTCTGGAGGCCAGATTTGTGGGCCAAAATTTTTTTTGCCCCCCCCCCCACCTCGTGGCTACGGCCCTGTATGCACATTAACCTTTTGGAAGAAAAAGTTAGAGCCATTGATATTTTTAAAATGTACATTCATTTTATATATATATTCATTTTTTATTTTTATATTTTGTTTACATGTTTTAAAGATAAATAATTAATAAATAAAAATCTTTTTTATTATTAAAAAAAATTTAGAGCTAAGAAAGTTCTTTGTATCAGGAAAAATTTTTTCCATTGCTAGATTAATACTTAATGCAAAAAGGACTTCTTTATGTCACACGAATCTTGATAAAATACTATTTATTCATGACAATTATAATTTTGCTAATCTGAATTCTGATTTATTATATTTCATACTTTATATATTGCTTGCATTACAAATTTATATTTTAATTTGTTATAATAAAAATCATTAGAATATTACTAATATGTGTTGTTTATAAGACTCTGATCTGAGTAAAAATGCAATTCCTTAGTCTATTTCTGAGAATGAGAAAATATATAAATTTAAATTGGAGTGAGAGGAAATAATTTAAAAAATGAATTAAATATGTTAACAATGTGTTCAAAAAGAGCACCCAAATAAATTATAAAAAAAATGTAATACTTTGATTTATAAATTAAATTTATTAAAAAATACATTGATTTATATATTAAATTCATTAAAAAAGATTAATAAATACCGCGCCGTCAATTTAGTAGGTGGCTTTCGGTGGAAAATTAAAAAATAACAGACATAGGCGCACAAGTCTACCCACGCCAGGCTAAATATTTTTAAAAATTCCCAAGCTGGGCCTGTTTTTTTAAAAAAATGGGTTGGTCTATATATTTTAAATCATCACTATTCTATAAAAATTAAAACAAATGTAATATATTTTAAAAAAATTTGGATCAGGTAGAAAAATTTATTTAAAAATAAATTCAGACCATGCTGAAAATTTTTTTTAAAGAAAAATCCAGGCTGGGCTGTGCAAATGGTATTTCTGCAGGTCTCTGATATAAATTTATGTATTTTTAAATTGATGAATATAACAGAATAAATAAGCCGAAAATGATAGGTTAATTAAAATTGAATATATTTAAATGACTTATGTTTAGTCAAGATGTTTTGATAGAGGGGGAGGGAATACTTTTTTTAAATTAAAATAATTTTTGGAATATTAAGATTTATTATAGTTAATCATATTATAAAAATGTCAATTTCAAACACAAAATAATAAAATATTGGAAAATAAAAAATATTTATGAGTGAATATAATATTGTTAAAAAATATCATAGCTATATAAACTGGTAAGTAAATCACAATAAATTTAGAATTAATCATTATATGATGATTTCAAAAGTTAATCAATATATCGGTCATAAATAGAATTAATATTCATTTAATAATGGATTAGATTGGTATCCAAAAAGAGGATGGCAAAACTAATTAGTTTAATGCATAAAAATAAATATTACCAATTGCATCTATCATAGATGCCTCCCTGGTCAAGGCATCATTTGAGGGAAGATTATGAAAAATATGTAACGATATAATGCCCAACCCTTCCTCCCAAATTTTCTTAATATAAATAGTTTTTTCTTTTTCTAAAGTCTGAAATATTATATAATAATAAATTTAAATATATTAAATACTTCTTTAGATGTGTTAACTGTGCATTTTAATGTATTTAAAGCTTCAATTAAATGTGAATAAGGTCTAATTTGAGAACCTTTCCCAATATAAAAAATTGCCCCTAAAAATTCTTTAAACACATTTAGATTAAGCTGATCTTTTGATATATTTTGTTTTAAACATTTCATAGTTACAATTTTTGTGGTTTTATTTGGGTCTAATAATATATAATTAAAATATATTTTCTTAGATTTATTATATGAAGGTAGATTATAAGAAATATTATTATGAATTTTTCCAAAAAGTTTATCACAATATTTTATTAAATCTGGATGATGTTCAAATGTCAATATAGATTTGTTGCTATTTATGATATATTCCAGTTCCTGTGAATAATAACGAACACACCTTTTATTAATAACAGTATTAAAATCTAAATGAATATATAAAATAAGAAAGTATTATATTTATAACTTGATTCTAAATTTTTAGATTTATCTAGTTGTAAATAATTATTAGTTTTTAAATTATATAATTTTTTTTGATATAAATATCGAGTTGAATCAGTAATAGGACCTGGTTTATAACTATTTTTTTCTAATTCTAATCTTAATAGTTCATCTGATAGTTCTTGAATTTCATACATTTTATTTTCAGAAATGCGCAAAAAACTAAGAAAACCATTAAAAAAATATAACATCTGACATATTAGATGTGACAGGTTAAAAAGTTAGTATGACATATGACATTAAATATATAGTATAATTCTAATAAAGCATTAAAAAATAAAACAGTGTGTATTTATATTTTTGCATAAGGCCATTTCCAGACAAAACGTTTTTTCAAAGCTGTTTTTGGGTGTTATTAGCAATCAATTTTTTGTTTCCCAAAAAAAATTTTAACTTATTGAATTAATTTTTTTATATAATATAATATTTTAAAAAAAAACAATCTAGATCCCCATATTTTTTTTCGTAAAAGAAAAAAAACCAGTTTGATTTTAATAACAATTAAATGGCGTTTTGAAATATGCGTCCGTATTGTTTTTTCTAAAATATTATATATTATATTAAAATTAATTCTCGAATTTAACATTTTTTTTGGAAATAAAAAAAAAATTGTTGGTAACATTACCCAAAACCCGCTTTGAAAAAACGTTCTGTCTGGAAATGGCTTAATACTTTAAGTGTAAAAAATACATTATAATTTTAAAAAAATTGATATTTTGATTATCGTTTTTTACTTATTCCGATTTTCTATATATTCCCTAAATTATATTTCAATGTAAATTATATTTTTATAAATTTACATTCCATATTAGTTACCTAAAAAAACAACTAAAAACTTAGGCAAAAAGATTATATCCTAATTCTTTTTATAATTACAAAAAACTGGATATATTTAGACTCTTTAGTGGATATTTTTTTTTCATAACATTAATTTTTTTAAATGATTACAATATTTAAATTTATTAATATAATTAAAATATATTAAAAATAGATAAAATTATAATTATTTTGAAAATAATTTGTGAAATGACAAGGTTTTAGGTAATTGTAATAGAGCATCTATAGGTAGTTCTAGATTCTCCTCGGATAATTGTAGATTTTGTTGGTTTGTGATATCCTGCATTATGGAAATTTATTTATTTAAAACTTTTTTTTGTTAGTTGTAAAGTTTTAGCAAATTTGAAGGAATTTAAACACGAAGGTAAACTATTAATATTTTCCTTGTTTTCCAATATATTTATCCTTTTTTTGGTTTTCAGATATTATAAATTACAAACCTTTTCACATCTTTCCCTTAATTCCTTAAAGCACAACATCATCAGATCAATTAATAGCTTCTTAATAAAGTTGCCAATATTATTTTGAAAATAATCTTGCATCATCTTATATATTTCCTTATCTGTTAATTTTCATTCATTTTTAAATAATTTTTAAAAATAAGTAAAATAATTAATAATTTATGAAAAAAAACATTATCAAAAATTTATTTATATAAATAAAAAATAATTTTTTAAAAATAAATAAAATATTTTAATGTTGAATTAAAAAACAACATGCGTTCTTTAAAAAATGAAAAATTTACTTTTATAAAACTTTGTTAAATGCAACCATAGTGGCAAGTAACAATAGCCAGTTTATGCTCTGCAAATATTTATGTTCGTAATTATTCCGATAGTTAGCAATAAATATATAAATGTGTTTATATTAGCGCAGATAGTAAAATAAAATATAATAATACAAATTTTTTTAAATATGATAATATAATTTATACATAATTATTTAGATTTTTTAAAAATGGCAAATAAAAATATTATATGAAAAAAATTGTTATCCAATAAAAAAAATCACTTTCAAAATATTTGAATTTAAACACTTTTTTGAAAATTTATGAGAAATAACTATTTATATATGAGCCATTCCATGTCAAATCGATCAAAAAAGGCACATTTTCGGCTGACCCCTTTTAAAATTGTTAAAAATTTTGGGAATTATTTAGATAGGTATATAAACGAGAATACCGTTTATTTTAGCTCGCTAGCACACCTGGTTCTCGAGATATAGGGGTTCAAAAGTGAAAAAAAGAGCCACTTTGGATTCTGTAAAATTTTTAAAATGCTTATATCTCAAAAACTATTTACAGTAAAAAAAATGTATAATATATCATATTGTAGGTAAAATAAATCTCTAAAGGGCTATCAAAAAAATAATAAAAATTGGCGCCAATTTGAGTCTTTAACTTCCGGTTTACCTATCTTGCTTCACCTGTATTTTTAAACAAAAAAGGGAGTTTGTTTTCGAAATTTTTTTTTTGTTTTTTATTTAGACACCTTTTATAAATATATATAAGATGTCAAAACCTTGGCGACGCTATCGACTTTTCCGAAATATACATTTTTACCAAAAATTGAAGAAAAAAGTAGATGGCGCTAATGGTTGTAAAATATTATTCTTAACGAAAATGAAAATATTGATACGTTTATAAGAAATGTGATAAAATTTTCTAGTTCTGCCCCCCCCCCTTCACCATCCTTAAAATGTTTTACATTTTTTAGATCTCTACTTTGCTACTATAGCGAATGACTTATTAGCTCGATAATGTATAACAGCTGCAGTAAAATCGAATATTTTATTTGGCATATTATCGATTATATTTTACAAAATAAACTGTTTAAAAAGATCTCTCTTTCTGCGTAATATTTTTAACTTATCCGTTCAGATTTTAAATATTACAACCCGTCTGCAGCTTATTATTTTTCTGTCTACCAATAACATTCTGGATTTGGAGAGTGCAAAATCATATATTATAGGTGCAGATCAATTAAAATTTTATTCTATATCACAGATGGACGTACCAAATATTAAAATGTTGCAACCCATTTAATCTACAAAGACATGCTTATTATCGCGAGAATCTAAGAAAGATTCTACCCTGGATGACCCAAAAAAATTTACCATTCAATTTAGATATGTTAATATGCTCTTCATGCCGACAAAAATTAGCAAACATTCCTTATACTTAAAATAACAATTTAGATATTGATTCTCCCCCTCATATAATTAATCAAGAGGCTTTGGAAATTTGTTACATTATTAAGTGTCTAATGGGCATTTGCCCACTCTGCTCCTCAGTTTAATTAGTATATTTAATAGAAATTCAAAATTTTTTAGCATAAAAAGTGAAAATATCCGGTTATTGATAAGTTAGCAGCAAAATTTTAATCATAATCTGTAATTTCATAAAGGGCCATCTATTTTTTTATCAATTTTTGGAGTCGATAGCGTCGTCAAGATTTTGATATAGTATATATATTTAGCAAAGGTGTCTAAATAAAAAGCAATTAAAAATTTCGAAAACAAACTCCTTCTTTTGCTTAAAAACACAGGTAAAAATAGGTAACCCGGAAGTTAACGGCTCAAATTAGCGCCAATTTTTATTGTTTTTTGATAGCTCTTTAGAGATTCTTTTTATCTACAATTTGATATATTATAAATTATTTAATATAAATAGATTTTGAGATATAAACATTTTAAAAATTTTACAGATTTCAAAGTAGCTCTTTTTTGCACCTCTGAGTCCCTATATCTCGGGCAGGTGTGCTATCGAGCTAAAATAAATGGCTTTCTAATTTTCTTAACTATCTAAATAATTCCAGAAATTTTTAACAATTTTAAAAGGGGTCGGCGAATCGTGATCGATTAGACGTGGAATGGCCCATACCTTCTATAAAATGTTTTTTTATATTTAATTACATTTTTAAAAAGTGTATAAGTAGTGTTATTATATTCTATTACATTTTTTAAATGCCAAACTCTGGACACTTAGAATGGCTAAGATTTTTTCAGAGTTGAACTTTTTTAAATTAACCTGAAATTTTTTTTATAAATATTATTTGAAAAATATCAAAATACCTTCTATAAAGTAAAATTAGTATTTTATTTGCCATATTATATAGCAATAGCACAGCTTTTGTGTGCTGGATAATTATTTAAACTTATTTTAGATTATGAATTAGATTTTGGTTATGATTTTTACATAAACCTGGGCCAGGTAGGACTACAAAATTTAGGCTTATACAGATCTTTAATATCCTATTAAGATATTTTTTTTAATCTATATATAACTCTGATTACTTGAAAAGGTAAAATTTTAAAAATGTGTTTATTGATTTAAAAAGATCTAATATAATTTTTTTTCAAAAAGGAATATAAAGACGATATAAATCTAAAAATAAATTAACCAAAATAAAATTGGTTTATCGTATAAACATATTTTCAAAAAATTTATATAATAAATAAAATAATTACAATAAAAAATTCATGGTAAAAAAATTTGCATTTTTCTGCTATATATGTTCAAATCACCAATCTCTTTTTACAAGAATATATAAATAAATCATTTTTGAACAAGGAATATTTTGCCATATATAATTCATACTAAAAAAAATCGTTTAAAAATTTATTCGTATAATTATGAAATGATCTTAAAAACCCTAATACAATAGCTTATCTAAAATGCACATATTTAAAAAAGGTTCTATAAAAACTTTAAATATTTTATTAGTGTGTTAAAGCTTAAATATTTTTTTTTCGTTAAATAAAATGCATATGACTTGTGATATATTAGTCCTCGACAAGTTTGTTGTGCATGTGCATGAGCCCTTCAAAATATTTGACAGTTTTGACTTTGAGTTCAAGTGTGGCACTTTCGTCGCATAAAAACAAGGTTCTGGGATGCATTTGAAAAGCCGATACTGTCCACATATGGTTTACTCCTTCTTCTATGGCCTTATAAAGGGCTAAGGCTTTATGGGAGCCCGTTATGAGTATCATAACCTTATTATATGAATGATATTTGATTTTACAAAACATTAAAAAAATAAAGAGGGTAGAGGAAGAAGTTAAGTAAATACAAATATTGTTTGTTATATAAAAAATTTATAAAAATATATATAGTGAAATAAATTAAATAATGATCACTTCATAGGCATCCATGACAGTTCCTACTCCCACCGTCAAAGCCATAATAGGAACCTTGGTCAGATCATTACCGAAAAACCGGGCATTGGCCTCGATAGTTTCCCTAGCTAGAGTTTTAACGCGAGTTCGAGAGGATAGACTTGAACCGGGTTCGTTAAATGCGATGTGGCCATCCGGTCCGATACCTAAAATTAAGGTGTTTGTTTATAAAATTAGGAATATAATATATCATATTGCGAAACATCTTTATTTACTATAATATATATTTAATCAGAACTAATCTATTAAAAAAAATTTAAATTTTAATTAATCTCCATTTTTAAATATATTTGATCCATTAGTTGGCTTTTATAGTTTAAATATTTTGATAATCTATATATGAGTTTTTAGAAAAAATTTATAGAATAAAAATTAGCGTTTTTGAAAATTAGGGTGAGATGCCTAAAGGGGTCAAAATTTAAGGCTCTGCCCGATAAGAAATTTTATTTTATTCTCAAGCCCTGCCTGAAAATATTTTGGCCCAATCCCGATTTTTAATTATTTTAAGACCCGGCCCAGAATTTTTAAAATTTCGTTATTTTGAATAATTGTGGCTGTATTTATCAGGGAAATTGAAAATATATAGAAAATGAATAATAAACTCTGATTTTATGATTTTCCAACTGATTAATTGATATAATTTAAATATATATTTTTTTAAATAGGTAGGAATGAAATACAACATTAATTTTTTCAGGTCATGTTTAATTACTTCAGGACCAAGATTCCCTTTGTTATTAACGAAATAAAGATAATATTAGTTAAAAGAGAGTAATTGTTAAATTTTCACGTCTCCGTTTAGATTGTATAATCCCAATCTAATTCTCAATATAAAAATAATTTTTTAAAAATGTCTTAGAGAAAATAACTACTAAGGGGAAGTTAAATGGATAACATGCTTTAGTGTAGACAAGGGGAGGGGGTTTGGAATGACTCCCTCCCCCCTCAAATACATTTGGAAATTTTTTTTATTAAGAAAATACAATTATAAATTTAATAATATAATTTATATTACTAAAACAAATTAGATATATTATAAATATAAAAATAAAATTTATATTGTTAAAACCAGAGTTGTTAGAAAGTGTTTGCATCGGTATCTAGATACAATTTTTTAAGAGACACTTTTATTTAACGCTTTTTTATATTTAAAATGAAAATATTTGAATGCAAAATATTTTATTTCATATGAGCATATAATTTAAATAAATATATATTAAAAAATATCAAGACTAATATAATAAAAATATATGTATATTTAAACTTATATATTAACAAAATATATAAATATTTTTTTTCCTTTTAAATCTATAGCTATCAGTCAAGATTGTGAAGAATTTTTTCTCATGTAAAGGAACACATAAATCCTTGCTTAGCAATGATGCTACTTAATTATTTAAAACAATAACATTGAAGCATAAAATTATTTTAAGCAAATAAATTTCTTTATTTATATTACATTTTAACAGAGTTAAAGCTCCTTTTTAAAAGTAGCTAGCTCCCGCTCTTACTTTCTCAAAAGGAGCTAGCTCCCGCTCCCGCTACTACATTTTTAAAAAGTAGCTCCTGATCCAATTTTCATTTTTTTAGAAGGTACACGAAACAAAATCATTTTTTTTTTGTCAAAAAGTTTTATTTATATTAAATGATCTATCAAAATATTTATAATCTTATATTAGCCTCTATAATAAATTTTCTAAATTAGAATCTAACAAACATCCATGCCTCTCCCCTAAGACCTGTTTTGCAATACTAAATAAACTCTCCATAGAAGCACTAGAGGGAAGCTGGGTATTGTATTTTATAGTAATGAGAAAATTAAAATAAATATTAAAATATATTTAAAAAATTCATATCTATCAACCCAAGCTCAACTATAATGAATTGCCCAAAAATAATTATAACCATTTAAAAAAAATTATTACAAAATAAAAAAAAAATATGTTATCATTTCGTAAAGAAAGATTTTTTACTTTTAGATGCTTTTAGATTGGAGCTGCTCAGTTTTGAAAATGAAATACTTTTACTTACACACAAAAGGTATTTTGCTTTTAAATTTGTTTGATCATTTGGATCAACATCTTTAAAATTTTAAAATATCTTTTGTATGATGGAAGTGAAAATTCGATTTCTTCTTCTATGATCTCTAAATCCATATTATCGAAAACTATTTTTTTTATATATCTATAAAATGAATATTAATATGACATACAAGATTTTCCACAAAATTTTCAATATAAAAATGAAAAACTTGATGTTTAATATTTAAATGATTAGAAGAAAACCCAATATAAAACTCGGCTCAACATTTAATAATGAATAATTAAAATAAAATTTCATTTTTATCGAATTTTAATTAACAAATATTATTAATATTTAAAAAATAATTTAATTTATACCCTAAATTTAAAGGAGCGGCGCTCCTCCACTCTAGCCCTAAAAAGAGCTAGCCCCGCTCCTCATTTTTAAAAAGGAGCGGTGCTCCAGGTATTTTAGAAAAAATGTAGCGATGCTCCAGGAGCGCCGCTCCTTAACAACTCTGCATTTTAATAATAATCATCTCAATATTATCAACCCGAAGTGTAGATTGACGATCACAAAAAATATGTTTAGCCTTACTAAATAATTGCTCAAAGCACTTGAGGGTGGGTATTTAATTTTATAAATAAATTTTTTAAATATGAAGTATTAAAAAAATACTCATTTGTATATTTAGTGAATTAAAAAAGAAATTTAATGGGTGTTCAATTTCTATCTCACATGGACTTATTACATAGATATGCATTAGTTATGACAATTTTTATATTTTATAATAGTTGATATTTGGGTTTACAAATTTCGAAAATATATATTCCAATTCCAATATTAAATAATAAAATTTAAAAATTATAATTCACAACGAAATTATATTTTAATTTCCGTGTAAGTTATATTTTTAAAAAGTAGCATACTAACCCATTACCTATTTTAAAAAAAAGTAGCGCGCTATAGCTACCAAAATATATAGCGCGCTACGGTAGCATATTGCATTATGATAAACATATATTATTGTTATCTTTATTTTAATAAGACATACAAGTTCTAAACCACCATGAAGATCTCTAATAATAATAAACCAATTATATCTGGAGGGACTTCAGAAATCTAATTTTGAAGAATGTAAATAAAAAGGTTGTGGAAAAAAGATGAAATTGAATAAACATAATTCATATATTTGTTATGAAATAATTAATTTACTTTGTATAACAATTTTTTATTTAATATTTATATTAATAAAAACTTATTTAAAATAGTTTGCATATTAGATGTTAGCGACACTACTTAATTCAAGATCCCAAAATCTTAAAATTTGAATATTTAAATTCAAATTTTAAGAAATTGTTGTGATATTTAATTTAAAACTAATAAAGCATGGATAGAAATGTGGAGAGTGAGATTCAAGATGAAATAATGGGCCAACATTTAATTCATATACAGCTAAAATAGCTTGTAAACATTCCCTTTCAAATAGTTATTATAATAACAAAAGCAATCTAAAGCAAGAATACTATATTTTACTTAGCCAACAACCATATTAAAATAGGATGCAAAACCTCATGGAGAAAAGTGACTGGAACTTCCTAGGCTTGCTAATTTATCTTGTATAAAATGTGAAAGTGATACCGGGAGAGGAATGTATTAATCAGCATCGACTAATTATAGAAGATCTCACTTTTAAAGGCGCCAGGATCACTAAAAAAAGTTTGTGCCAGTGAAGGTTTGGAAATTGAAGGAGAGTATTAGACGTCAATTCAATATGACATTGGTGATAAGGGAGGAGCACAAGCGTCTGGGGTAAACGACAAGTGGTAAGCCATGAAGAAAGCTTGGGTGATGACAACTGAGGAGGTATGTGAATGGACAAAAGGGCCGTCTAGACATAAGGTGACTAAGTGGTGGAATCCGTAGGTAACGAAAGCTGTGGATGGAAAACGGGGGGTGCTTCAAAGAATGGTATAATAGTAAAGAAAATAGCGATAAAGATATCTACAAGATGGCGAAAAGAAATGCTAAGAAATGAATAGCGAAAGCGCAAGAAGAAAAAGGGCAGGAGTTTGCTAAAGAAATGGAATGCGCTGAAGGAATGGGAAATGAGGTTCGAGTGGCAAAGCAGATGGCAAAAAAGAGGCAGGATGTGGTAGGTGTTAAATGTTTAAAAAATATGGAAGGAAAAATAGTGATTGATAGTAGTGTTATTAAGAACACCGGAAGATCTATATGGAAGGACTTTTGAACGAAGAAAATGAATGGGATAATAATGTTAGTTGCGCAAAAATAGAGGTTCCAGGGTGTAAATCTGGCAAGGATGTAATAATGAGAGTAGTGAAAAAGATGAAAAAGGGAAGGCATCGGGTTTAACGAGGGTGGTATCAGAGATGTTTAAAGGTTCTGATGACTTGGGGATGGTTAATGAATTTAGCTAATCAAATTGTGGAACTATTCTCGAGGACTGACGAAAAAGTATATCTCAGTATACAAAGGGAAAGTTGATCCTTTAGATTGCGGGTCTTACAGAGCTATTAAACTCTTGGAACATGCAATGAAGGTATTTGAGAGGGTGTTAGAGAAGCGGATAAGGGAACAAACTAAAATTGATGAAATGTAGTTTGGTTTTACATCGGGGAAGGGCACGACAGATGCAATTTTTGTGGTGAGACAAATACAGAAGTATTTTGTGAAGGAAAAAAACTGTATTATGCGTTTGTTGATTTGGAAGAAGTATTTGACAGGGTGCGGCGCGAGGTTACTAGATGGGCCTTGAGAAAATCAGGTGTGGAGGAATGGTTGGTAATGACAGTGATGGCAATGTATGTGGAAGCACAAACTGCATATGGACGGATGATGGAGATAATAATTCCTCTATCTACTAAAACTATCAGCAATATAAGATTTGCAATCTAATTTTTAAATAGTTTTAAAAGGGGGTATATCATTAAATTATTTTTCTGGCATCCCCTTTCTTTAAGGCCTGGCGTAATTACCTTCCAAAAATTAATAAATACTTTGAAGTGAAGGTAGGACTTCATCAAGGATCCGTGAATTATTATTTATCTTAGTAATGGATGTGGTGGTTAGAGAAATGCATGAAGGACTTCCCTGGGAGCTATTATATGCAGATGACCTTGTATTAATGGCAAACAGTGAGGGATAATTGAGGGATAAAATTAGTCAATGGAAGCAAATGGCCTGAAAATGAATGCAGCAAAGACAAAGGTGATTTGGTAGGGAAAATCTAAAGATGGAGGAATCATGAAGTGTCCTTGTGGTGTATGTGGGAAAGGAGTTGCTAAAAATTTAATCCAATGTACCAGATGCCAGAAATGGGTACATAATAGATGTAGCGGGAAAAAGGGAAGTCTGATGTTAGCAAGAATGACCTTTATTTGTAGAACATATAAAAGTGGTACATAATAATGATAATGTATAAAATGGTGGTCTGGATATTGGTAATGGGTTATCCCTAGTAAAAGTGGATAAGTTTTGTTATTTGTGTGATATGCTAAACACAGATGGTGATGTAGATTCTGCCGTTGTTGCAAGGGTCAAACAAGTATGGAAGAAGTTCAGAGAGATGCCACCTATTCTAACAAATAAAAAAGTCTCTATGAAGTTAAAGGGGAAAGTTTACGTAAGCTGTGTGAGGAGTTGTTTAGTTTATGGTGGCAAAACATGGGCAATGAAAGCGACTCACAAAGCCAAATTTGAAAGAACAAAGATGAGGATGATTAGTGTGAGGTATCCGAGAGAAAGAAAAACTAGCAAGGAATTGCAAGCAAGATTGGGTATAGAAATGATTGGAGTGGTAATGCAAAGAAATAGACTAAGATGGTTGGGCATGTGGAATGTATGACAAAAGATTGGGTAAAGAGATGCACTTTGATGGAAGTAGGAGGATCAAGACCTAGAGGAAGCCCAAGATGATGCGGACAAATGTGAGCAGTGGATATGAGAAACATAATTCTTACAAATATTGATGCTCAGGACCATCAAAAATGGAAAAGAAAAATCAGAAGGAAAACTGACCTAACTGGATAAACCTGGAAATGGTCAAAGTGGAGAAGAAGAAGCTCTTTACGCTTCACCAATTTTGACAAAATATAATCTATTTGCAACAAATTTTAACTAAATTTGATTTCTAATTTATATTACTTTATATTTTGTTTGCATTCCGAATTTATATATACATTTATTTAATAAAAAATAAAACTGAGATGTGTGACTTAAGTAAAAAGGCAATTCCTTAACCTATTTTGGAGAATTAGAAAAAAAATAAGTAAAAAGGTAATTCCTTAATATATTTTGGAGAATTAGAAATACAGAAATTTATATAGGAGTGCAGAAAATGCTTTAAGAACTAGATTATTAACAGTTGGAACTAAGAATGTCCAAATAATATAAAAAAATGTAATACATTGAATTAAACTTATACTCAAATTTTAAAATAAGGTGACAGGTAATTGGCCACCTCTGTGACACCAATAAATATATCTAAAAAACCTATGCTGCTGAATGAGATTTCAACACACAGGTCTAGAAATGATATACTTTACAAATCTATATAATCTATGAATGAAGAAAATTGGGATAATTTTAGTATCCCAAAATATTTAAAACAAAATTAGAGCTGCTTTTCTAATTTAATTTTTTCTATAAATCCAAAAGTCAATTATAAGAGGGATATAAAGTTAAGTAAGGCATATAAAACCTCCAACAAAGAGTCTTATACCACCAGCCTCTTGTATATCTTCTTCAAATTTGTTGCATTCAATTTCCAAATTAGAAGCATTACCATTAAGAATATAGACATTTTGAGGTTGTATATCAACATGCTTAAAGAAATTGTTCCACATAAATGAATGATAACTTTCTGGATGGTCCCTTGGTAAGCCTAGAATTTAAAAAAAAATATAAGACGATATTAATATATAGAAGCTTTGATTATAAATTTTACGAGAATAAGATATAAAAAAATATAATTTTAAAATATATACAATCAATTACCAACATATTCGTCCATGTTAAATGTTTTAACATATTTAAATGAAATCGTGCCATCTTTATAGTATTCAATTAACTTTTTATAGGTTCCTAATGGAGTACTGCCTAAAATAAAGTATTAAGTCAATAATGCATGAGGCATTATTAAGATACCTGTTGGAAGTCCTAATGTAAAATATTTCTTTTCACTAGGATTAAACTGTTTAATTTTCTTTCTAATATATTTGGCAGCCCATTCACTAACCTTATCATAATCTTGCAAAATAATTAAGCGCATTCAATTTTAGGTGTGTTTTTTTAAATTATGGTTTTATCAGCTGATAATTCGTTAAATATTAAATTTAAAAAAAAAAATTGACGTCAATCTTTTAATAGGTCACGTGGTCATGATATAATTGATTAATTTGAAGTGATATGGGTTGAATCAGGCAAATATTATTTTATTTTAATCATATTTATTTACAGATTCTATGAACATTATATCTCAATATTGATAGTAATCATACACTAAAGAAATTAAACTTAAAATCAGCCATCACCCACCTTTTAAGTAATTAAATTATACTGTAGTTCTCGGGTATAGGCTCTTTTTTTGCCCCACTCCTTTTTAATAAGCCTATAGAGGTTTTGTGCCTACAAGTACGTGCGGCTTGCCCACAAACGTGTAGAGGGCTCCTCATATTTTTACTTTTATACCCAAATTAAATTATTTCCAATTAGATGGAAACGAGGAAAACCTAGCGTAGCTCTGTTGAACCTTCAACGCTAGACGGGCAGAAGCGCTATATATCGCGTATCACGTACGTATTATTTGCAAAAGATGCTAGTCAGTGGCGTCACTGGAAGGGGGGGGGGGAGCGCAGGAGCTCGAGCTCCCTGAAAATTTTGAATAGCCCCGTGAAGCAAAAAAAAATTTTTTTAATGGAATCTTAACCCATTGAACTTAAAATAAATTTTTTTGATTGCCCACTGAACGATTTCTTTTATAATTCCATTAAGTAATATATTGATTTAATTTTATATTTAAAAATTAATGACTGTCTAAATTTTTATTTAATGAATACTATTTTAAATATTAGATTAGAATTAATACATATAAATTATATTTACACTATGTCAGCTAGCAATCAAATTCTGTGTTAAAAATAGAATATCAATATCACTCACTAAATATTAATTTAGCATTAACAGTTGAAGCTTAATTGACTATTATTATTTAAATTATTATATTACCCTAATTAAATAAAAATAATCATTTATTAATTGAAAACTAACAAATTTAATTTTGTATTTATAGTTCAAAATGACTAATAAACTGTATATATTATTTTAAATTTAATTATCATACCTATTCCTAAAAATATTTTCAAGGTCCAAATAAGTATAAGAGATTTCTTTACAAAAAGTAAATAAGTAGATATATAGTTTATAATCCTCTATTATATACTGTTGGTTATAAAATATTAGATAAAATGCCAGTTTTATAGACGTATTTGACAGTTATTATTATTATAATAAATTTTACTAATAAATGCTTTTGATAATAAATATAGTAACAATTTGCATTCAAGTATTTCCATCTATTTAATTATAAATAATTTTAAAAATTAAACATTTTATTATTCATCCTACAATGGATGTAATAAATTAGATATCTTTTCTTTTTTTACGTGCTTTTAGGAAAGCTATTTTTTTCTTTTTCGAAAAACAGTTTTGAGTTAAATTTTTAATACAAGTATATTTTTGATATTATACTATTATTTTAAGATATAATATACCAACTGGTAGTTTCTACAAAATATAAAATCTTAATTGTTTCAACATATCATTCTGGTATTTATTTTATAATTAGAAAATATTTCATTTCTAATATGGCATCCTTGCCGTGTAAATAACTCAAGGCTTCAATATATTTGCATAATTATTTCTAAAAGATTTTTAGTGTTTTTATTTTATCAATTTATTCAACATAATAAATTCTGATATTAGTTTACATCCTGAGTATATGGTTATGATTGCAAATTAACCAGCATCTATTATTTGTGTTGCTATGTAATTTAGGATTATTACTAGAGCTGTTAAGAGCATATGATTGAATATTTTAGATAAACAATAATGGTCAACTGTGTAGTCGTTTATATACCATTAATGGAAGTTAATCTTTTAGAAATTTAATATCTCACAATAATTTTCTCGATTACTTATCTAGCTTGCATCATGTCATCTAAAAGGAAGTTCTAACCACTATATAGTTTTATGATTTGGATTGGTCGTTTATACTCTCTTCTTCAAGAATTATTGCTTTGGTTTAGGCCTATAAATTTTTCCTTATTAGTCCATTATATAAAACATTGTCTAAAATGGTAACTCTACCATGTTAGTTGCTAATAATTATATTATCGCATTATGTGCTTTTTAAAAACTATTATCAATTTAACCTTTTTTATCACTTGTAATTCTTTAGACACAAATTTTTTTATGTCAGCAATCGAATATATTTTATACTGTAATAAATAGATTTTGTATTAAAAAATATTATTTTTCGTCTTGTATTGTTTTAATTATTTATATGCCAATTTATTCTGTATACATAATATAATATGAAAAAATATGAAATTCAGAATAATTGTTCAGAGTTAACAAATTTTAAAAAAGTATAATATACTAATATAAAACCCGGCCGAAGACCGGGTAAAAGAGGGCCGAAGGCCCACAAATTAGAGTGTACGGGAGTGGGGGGGGCAAAGCCCCATAAATTTTTTTTAGTTGAGCTTCCTGAGATTGCAAAGGCTAGCCACGCCCCTGATGCTAGTTCAAAAAATCAGTAGTTAAATTTTATATATTTAAATTATTTTTATTGGAAAATTAAAATAGAATAGAAGTTTAAATTAGCCACTTCAAATGGTTTCCTTTTACGTTATGATGATATTATATAAGAAAGAAATAAAACTTATTCATTCATTTATTAACACATCCTTTATTTATTAATTTAATTATTTATTTATTAATTTATCCAATTATTTATTCATTCATTTTATTTATTTCCACTAAAAAATTATTTGGATAAATATTTATTAGAGAATGTGCATGTAAATCCTAATCCACATGGTTGAAAAAAATACAAAGATTATGGTCATAATATTTTATAAAGAATTCTATTATGTTATAGTCTAAAGAGTGTATATGGCTTCCCCGAACAATGGGGGTGGAGGGGGGATTGGGAAAGGTAGATGGTCTTGGCATTTCGGAGGGTGGGTAATATGACCTTTCGCAAAAAATTTGGTCATCATTTTGGATTCCAAATTCTACCAAAAATAATAATTCACTTTTGGTTATATTGGACAATCTTGTGATTCATGATCATTTCTGATTTCACGCCAATTGTGATTCACAGGCTACGATCCCATAGGCCGAAGGCATATAATTTTAGGTTGGTATAATTAAATTCCTATCTAGATTCATCACATTTATTTAAATTACGTTACAAAACAATTCAGTTGATTTATAATTCACTTATGATACAGATATATTAAATATTTTAAATGGAACGGATTTCTCTGCACTACAGGATAATTTTGAATTTTCATCTAATTTTATTTTAAATAACGGATTTCTATGTATAGCTGGTGCGGCTTTCATCTATTTTTTTAAATATGGAATGGATTTCTCCGCACCATAGGATAAGTATGACCTTTGATATAATTTATTCAGGGAATGACACAAGACCACACAGTGTTTGCGCAACACAAAGTTAAGGCATATAATCATTTTTATTTTATTCAATCAGATTATATAAATTTATCAATCACTTTTAAAGGAATTTTTTTGATAACTAAGTAAATTAATTCCTCTTCATAAACAAAAAATAAATCAGTTTTTTATTTCTTATTTATCAAAGAATGGTATAATATAAAGAAAAAGAAAAATATCATTAAGTGATATTTGATTATCGTATTATAATATAAGGAGGTAACCTAGATGGAGAGGCACATAATTAAAATAAAAAAACTATCTGTGTATTTGGTTTTTGCACACAATGGAGGATAAAAAGATAAGAAAAGAAAAACAGAATACTTAATTATATTTTTCTATATTTACAAACAAAAGTGGGGAAAAGATTCGAAAACAAAATATTTGTGTAATGAGGTCCATGAAGTTGGCCCCACACTTTTGGATTTTCAATGGTTTATCAGTTGGACTGATTTGTACCGATTTGTACCGTTTTCAGTTTGATTTGTACCATCACCGCTTTTAAGATATTCAAAGAACAAAATGGGGGGCCAACTTCACGACAGCCCCCCAACTTTTGAATTTAAAAATAAAAAAAGTATAATTTGAGATTTTTCGAACTTTTAGAACGGGATTGATTTGTATCCGATTTGTACCTTTTTCAGATTCGATTTGTACCAACACCGTTTTCCAGCTATTGACCGTTAAAAATATGGCGCCAAAAATAAAAACACTCAAAATTATTTTTTTAAAAACTTTCTTAACGTACAACGATAGAGAATTTTTTTCTCTTCCTTATGATGCCTCAAATTAAGCTTTATCTTCATTATTTATTTCGTAAATCAAATTTTAAACCTTATATTATAGCGTGAAGTTAGCCCCCCCCCCCCCCCCGATATTCAAAATTTGAGATTTTTCAAATTTTTAAAACGGGATTGATTTGTACCCGATTTGTACCGTTTCAAACTCGATTTGTACCATTACCGTTTTCCAGTTATTGACCGTTAAAAATATGGCGCCAAAAATAAAAAACACTCAAAATTATTTTTTTTTAAAATTTCTTAACGTACAACGATAGAGAATTTTTTTTTCTCTTCTTAATGATGCCTAAATTAAGCTTTATCTAAAAATATACACATATTGTAAATATTTATATTTATTTGTTTATCCTAACTTAATATATTTATAAATATATATATTTTAACAAAAATGCTTAATAAATTTTTAATAGTTTGGTTTGCTTATTTATAAATATTTTTCAAAAATGGACACATAATATGGAATATTACTTTATTATATATATAAATAAATATATTTACATAAATAAACACAATAATATATGATTTCGTTTTATTAAAGAAATATAATGATGTTTAATTTGAAGGTGTTTTTGTTGAATTCGTAGGTTATAATTAAACAGTAGTGTTTTGATTCTTTGATTTGCTCCATCAAAGTCTCACATTTGAAAAAGTATTTACTTCTGCTATGATTGTAGATACAATCTAAAATTTCAGTTTGATTAGTACTATCACCGTTTTCCAGCTATTGACCGTTAAAAATATGGCGCCAAAAATAAAAAACACTCAAAATTTTTTTAAAAAAAATTTCTTAACATACAACGATAGAGAATTTTTTTCTCTTCCTAATGATGCCTCAAATTAAACTTTATCTTCATTATTTATTCCGAAAATCAAATATTAAACTTTATATTATAGCGTGAAGTTAGCCCCCCCCCCCCCCGATATTCAAAATTTTAGATTTTTAAAATTTTTAAAAAGGGATTGATTTGTACCGATTTATACCATTACCGTTTTCCAGCTATTGACCGTTAAAAATATGGCGCCAAAAATAAAAAACACTCAAAATTATTTTTTTTTAATTTCTTAACGTACAACGATAGAGATTTTTTTTATCTTCTTAATGATGCCTCAAATTAAACTTTATCTTCATTATTTATTCCGGAAATCAAATTTTAAACCTTATATTATAGGGTGAAGTTAGCTCCCCCCCCCCCCCCTCCGATATTCAAAATTTGAGATTTTTCAAACTTTTAAAACGGGATTGATTTGTATCCAATTTGTACCTTTTCAAACTCGATTTGTACCATTACCGTTTTCCAGCTATTGACCGTTAAAAACTCAAATTTTTTTAAAAAAAATTTCTTAACGTACAGCGATAGAGAATTTTTTTCTCTTCCTTATGATACCTCAAATTAACCTTTATATTCATTATTTATTCCGTAAATCAAATTTTAAACCTTATATTATAGCGTGAAGTTAGCCCCCCCCCCCCCCCCCGATATTCAAAATTTGAGATTTTTCAAATTTTTAAAACGGGATTGATTTGTACCCGATTTGTACCATTTCAAACTCGATTTGTACCATTACCGTTTTCCAGTTATTGACCGTTAAAAATATGGCGCCAAAAATAAAAAACACTCAAAATTATTTTTTTTTTAAATTTCTTAACGTACAACGATAGAGAATTTTTTTTCTCTTCTTAATGATGCCTAAATTAAGCTTTATCTAAAAATATACACATATTGTAAATATTTATATTTATTTGTTTATCCTAACTTAATATATTTATAAATATATATATTTTAACAAAAATGCTTAATAAATTTTTAATAGTTTGGTTTGCTTATTTATAAATATTTTTCAAAAATGGACACATAATATGGAATATTACTTTATTATATATATAAATAAATATATTTACATAAATAAACACAATAATATATGATTTCGTTTTATTAAAGAAATATAATGATGTTTAATTTGAAGGTGTTTTTGTTGAATTCGTAGGTTATAATTAAACAGTAGTGTTTTGATTCTTTGATTGCTCCATCAAAGTCTCACATTTGGAAAAGTATTTACTTCTGCTATGATTGTAGATACAATCTAAAATAATATTAAATTTTTAGATAAAAAAAATATATTTTACTGGTTCTCAGATTCACCCTTTCCAAAAGAGCCAAAAGTTTATAATCCAAGAGCGCATTTATTCTTTAACTAGTAACCTTTGTTGTAATTTCTTTTATCATTGTTCATAAATATTTACTAATTTTTTGGTAACCTTATCCTATATTCTAAAATGATATAATATCAATTAATATATTATAAAATGATATTATAAATTACTATATTCTAACTTTATATAAATATAAATTAATATATTCTGAGATTATATAAATATAAATTAATATATTCCTAAATGATTAACATATTTATGTATTTTATTATCCAAATTTTATATATTATATTGTTATAATAATTATACAAATCCAAATAATTATGCAATTTTTTATATAGTTAGAAAATAAATTAATACTAATTTTTATAAAATCTATATCAAATTATAAAAAATAATAAAAATTTAAATTGAGAATAGATTTCATTATAAAAATGATAGGATATCAAATAGTGTATATATATATATGCGGTCTAATTTTTTTAGGTATATTGAAAATTTTTTTAACTTTTAAATTATTAAAAACCTTCCATACATTATTGCGACATAGGCAATAATCGATATAATGACCTAAAATATTTGGATCGTTTTGCTCATTGCCTTCATAAGCTATTACACCTCTAAGGGTGTAAATAATTTGATCAATTTTGAAATATTTTGGTATTGTTTTTATATCAATTAAATGGTATTGCCCCGTTTTTAATATGATTTCTAATAATTTATTATAACGATTTAAAAGTAACGTAGAAGATAATATATATTTACAAGTAATATTTGATAAATTTTTTACATTACATAGCCCTCTATCTATAGGACGGTCTAAATAATCATACAATTGATTCTAAATTAGATATATTATTTATATGTTCAATTGAAAATGATAAAATGCCAGTTTTGTAAATTCAAATTTTGAATATCGGGGTTAAAATATGATTTACGGAATAACTATAGGACGGGCTAAATAATCATATAATTGATTCTAAATTAGATATATTATTTATATGTTCAATTGAAAATGATAAAATGCCAGTTTTGTAAATTCAAATTTTGAATATCGGGGTTAAAATATGATTTACGGAATAAATAATGAAGATAAAACTTAATTTGGGGCATCATTAGGAAGAGAAAAAAATTCTCTATCGTTGTACGTTAAGAAGTTTTTAAAAAAATAATTTTGAGTGTTTTTTATTTTTGGCGTCATATTTTTAACGGTCAATAGCTGGAAAACGGTGATGGTACAAATCGCACTGAAAACGGTACAAATCGGTACAAATCATCCTCTATCGACCTATACATTTTTTATTTTTAAATTCAAAAGTTGGGGGGCTATCGTGAAGTTGGCCCCCCATTTTGTTCTTTGAATATCTCAAAAACGCTGATGGTAAAAATCGAACTGAAAACGGTACAAATCAGTCCAACTGATAAACTATTAAAAATCCAAAAGTGGGGGGCCAACTTCACGGACCTTGTGTAATGTACATGGGTGTTTAAAAAAGAGTGTTCCAGGTTACGCCAGATAAAATTTTCTACAAATTATAAAAATAAAAAGATTAAATACAAAAAAAGAAAGTAAATACAACATAATTATATTTGCAAAATTGTTTGCCTCTAAAATTCAAAATATATAATAACCTTACCTTACACCTAGTTCTTTATTATTTATAACCAACATACCATTTACATGTATCTGTTTAATTTAATTAAAATAGGATAAAAATGTGAAGCTGGCATATATTTTGCACAACACATTAGCTGTAAACATAATGATATCACTTGCAAGGGATATGGTTTGCGACTGCGCCAAATATTTTAAGTTTATATTGACATAATCCTATCAGGTTTGGGCAGTAACGCGAATACTTGATACTAAATATAAATACTTTTTTATATATAGTATTTATTTGAATATTTTTGAAAGTAATAAAAGGTATTTTATATTTATTACGATTACAGACAAATACAAATGCTTCTTTTTTTTTATTATAAATTGAATTTTAAATCTAAAATTTATCTATTAAAATATGTGACTGAGATAGCCAAAAAATTAACATAATATCATTTTATTTTTATAATGAGTATTTACGAAAATGAAGCCGATGTTAATTTTGTTTGAAGAAGATAATGATATAGAATTAAAAGAAGAAGATTCCAGTTCCTCTCGGGTTTTTAAAAATGCTATTATGTTAATAAGAAATTTTTTATAGAGAATCTATAACACTAACAACGTCTATATCCTCTATATGCCATTTAACACAGATGGAAGGTATGAGATGACTTTCAGCAACTCTTTTACTTATTTAAAAAATAGATGGGTAGCGGGTAGTGAAAAATATATACATCATATGTAGTAATGTAAGCATAGGGTATCTACGCGGAAAATTGATTTATTTTTCCTGGGAATATTTCTCATTTAGTTTTTATAAATATATGGTTTCCTTTTATTTTCCATGCCAAACACAAACCTACAAACTTACTGTTATTATATGTTATTTTCTCTGTTATATTGAATACTCGCTATATTGAAAATACTTGCCATTTTCGATCTATATATTATGAATATATATCTTAGATAATAAATATAAGAAATAGATAAAAAATGAATTTAACATCTGTAATGTTCCTTTTTTAAAAAAATTTTGTGGCTTAAAAATGCTAATTTGTTGTTTCTTATATTTGTGTATGTGATTACCTTTGGCTATAATAAAAAATATGAAATAAGATTAATTTAGCCAATAAAAATTTGGAATGAGTGAAGAAACTTTTATCTATCATCTCACTTGGCAAAATGCCCAATATAACGACATTTGAAGCCTGTGACATCCACTACATTATTTCTTTCTTACAAACTCTTTTTCGGTACTTCCCTCTCATTTTTAATTATGTGCCTACAAAGCAATATATTTCACTGTTGGAAATGCTCTGTTATTTAATGAACATTTATCTTGCGATCTTATTTTAAAAAAAATTGGTCAAGCGGTCTCATTTTTATGTTTTATTATGTATGACCGTTTCTTATATAGTTTTTAATTTTTATAACAAATTATCTAAAATAACAATTTCAAGGATTTTGATAAAATTATAAACAACAAAAAATGCAATGTTATAATTTTTAATAATGTTTAAAAATAACAAATGGCTCATAAACTTATGTTTCATAAATTTTTACTTTTAAAAGTAATATAATTGTCAAATTTTATTTCATCTCAAATGTCAAGCTTGGATTCCAATTTCGAAGAAATACTTAGAAATTTAGGATTTGGAAGGTATCAGCTTAAAAATTATATATTAATTTCTGCCATGATGTTCTTCCATCCATTTCAAATTCAATTGATTCCTTTCGTATCCAGAGAAAATCCTTATCAAACCTGTGGCTTCAATCCTTCGAACAATATGACTAACTTTACTTCAAATGTGACCTTCAATTCCTCAGTATTATTATTGATATATTATAAGAGTTGTTTGAAGGAACTAATAAATTTTATTAATTGTATAATATTTATAGAGGTTACGATATTTTTTAGTAAAATATTAAAACGTATAGTTATATGTAAATTGTAGGGACCGGGCTAATCAAACTGAATTTTGCATAATTGACTAGAACTCTTGTGCATAGTGATAAAAAATGGTTCCACTTATACCGAAAACGGTTTAACTTATTTTTTAGGCAAAAATCAGCATTTGCGCGAGCTGAAAAAAATTGGCTGGAGTGCAAGCCGATATGATCGGCTCTGCATTGGAGCTCGAGCTGAAAAGATCGGCTTAACCTTGGGGCGCGAGCCGGAAAAATTGGCTAAGCCTAGTGCTAGTCATAAAATCGATTAGCGAACCGCTTATTTATTTTTAAAATCAATATAATGGCAATAGAGATATTTTTGGTCCTGAATCCTGAATTTGCTGATGATATATTATTTCAAAATGCAAATCTATCAGGATAATCAGTTATTAATTTCTATTTTTATACAAACCGTTTAAAATTGGAATATAATAATAATTACTCTTATAGATTTGTTATTATATTTGACTATTTTTTAAGAAAAATTATATCAAAAGGAAAATTTTATTAGTTTTAAGAATGAAAATCTCAAACTCGATGTATGAATTATGAACGAACCGTTATTGAAAATGACTATTACTATCAGGGATGTGAATAAGTGATCTGCATAGGCTCTAATTTTTTAAGTCCGCCCCGGCCTGTAATTTTTTAAAAAAAAGTTTAGTCGGCCTGGCCCGAACCCGAAATTTTTTTTTATAAGTTTTGCCGGCCCGGCTCGAACCCGAAATTTTTTTAAAAATTTTTTGCCAGCCCGGCCTGAATCCAAAATTTTTTTTAAAAAAATTTACCGGCCCGGCCCGGCCCGGCCCGATTTTATTTAAATATATAAATTATTTTTATGATTACTCAAAATAAAAGACATATGTTATATGGCGTCTAGTTCTATAAATAAAATCAAATATTTTTATTTTTCATAAAAAATTTAATATAAAATATATAAATCTAAATATATTTTAAAAAAATTCTAAGGCCCGACCCGGCCCGAATTTTTTTTTTTAAATAACGGGCCGAGCCTACTTTTGCAGATCACTAATGTGAACCCTTCGAGAAAAAAAAGGGTCTAGGTTCAGGTTCGGGTACATTAATAAAATAGGGTCCGGGTTCAGGGAACATAAAAAAATGACTTAAAATAAGACTTTTTTTTCATTCATTTATTATTATATTTCAATATATACACATTCATAATTTACAAATAAAAAATTTTAAAATGAAATAATTTATTCAAATGTTTTCAATCGCACAATCATAATATCTGTAAAATATCATCCTTGAGATTTCCACGTAAATTAGACAATATATATTTCAAAGATGAAAATCCACGTTCTACGCTTACCTAAAATAGCTAGTTATCATTATAAAACAATTGAAGAATTTTCTTCCCAGAATTTTAAAATATTTGTATCCTTATTTATTCTCTTAACTTCTGAGAATTTTTCTAATAAAGATGTAATAGGCATTTTTTGATTCTCCTTTCTATCTGGTGATAATTTTTTTTTTCTCTATTTAAAAGTAAAATTTCTAAATTATCAATGTTGCTATCATTATGATTATTATCAACCAGTAGATATTATTGTCGTAGCCTCCAATATATTGTAAATAATGGAGTTTGCATAGGCCATAAATTCTTGAGATTGTCTTTAGCCATTTGTTTTTGATAATACTCAATAAAACTTGATATCGAGGGTCTAAATATATAGAATCGTATACAACACTATTTTGCAAATATTATTGCTCTCGAATTTTCGTGTTTTCTAATATTTCGTATAAAAAAGGACTAGTAAATCTTTCTAAACCTAATAGGCATCTAATCCATATGCCATAAAAATCAGATAAACATAATTGCTCTGATTGTAAAATGTTGTTATTTTTATAGTAACTAATACACTAGTAAGGTTTATTTGGCACCAATCATCTTCCCCCAAAATGACTTCACATGCTCCTATAATAAAATTATTACAGAAATCTTTCAAATTTAATAATCGTTCTAGCATCATACAAATTGAGGAACAACGTGTTGTGCAATCTAATATTGCCATTGACCTTTTTATTGATTTCAATATTCTTACAATTGTGGGAATTCTTAAAAATTTTGCAACATCCCCTGCTTTATCAATGATAGTTTTAAAGTGATTATTTTTTAGGCAATCATTAATAGCCAATTGTAGAGTATGGGCTGCACATCTGATGCAATATATATTTTTGGGGAGATTTATTAATAAATTTACATAATAAAATACTATTACCTATACTAGAAAATAATTTATGATATCAATCTCTAAATAAAATGGAAGTCCAGGAAGAAAGTTAAAAGAAAAACGCCAAGATAAAATAAATGAATCCACGAAAAAAAGTTAATAAATTTTTAAATTTTTATGGCACCTAGAACCCTTGGACCCTCCACTTTTAAAAAGGGTCAGGGTACAGCCAAAATACGAGAGTTCAGGAGAGTTCAGGGTCCGGGTTCACATACCTGTAATTACTATTGATTTAATGCTTATACAATATTTAGGAATATTTTCAATTTTCCGTCATTAGTCATTTTAAACTTGTTATATTGAGCTTTAATTATAATATCATCTCATGTGATCGAGAAAAAAATGACCATCTATAATAAATAAAAATTCTTCGAAAGAAAAATAAACGATAATATCTTTAAACAAAATAATAAAAATCGACAAATGAATTCCCAGAATCCGATAATAATATTCTTTACAAAAAATAAAAAATCTATATTCATATCAAGACTTTTACAATTTTTTGATGTAAATTTAAGAAGGGTGTTATGTCATTAATTGTAGAAAAAGATAGTTTATAATGACCAATTATAATCGTCCCTTTCGCATTTCTAAAAAAAGTGAAAATATTCCTAAATAAAAATAATTATCAATATTCACAAAAAATTACTAGTAAAAGATTTTTCTTCTAAAGAAATTATAAATACCAATCAATAGTCAAAGTCATTTTCAATAACGATTCATTCATAAATCATACATCGAGATAAACATTCACCCAATAACATTTTCCTATCGATATTTTATTTTTCATAGAAAATAGTCACGAGTATTTAAGAGTATAATTATTATTAGGTTCCAATTTTGAGCGGTTTATATAAAAATGGAAATTAATACATTGAATATCTTGATAGATTTACATTTTGAATTAATATATCATCAGGTTTAGGAGCAAAAATATCAATTATCGCCTTTATTAAAAATTAAAGCGCGTAGCTAATCGAATTTATGGCTGGCGATCCAAGGTTGAGCTAATTTTTCCGCTTGCGCTCCAAATGAACCGATTTTACAGCTCTCTCTTAGGTTGATCCAATTTTTTCCGGCTGGTGCTATAAGGCTTAGCAATTCGGCTCACGCTTCAAGAAAGAGCTGATTTTTTTTGCGCTTAATGCTTCCGACTTGAGTGGGATTTTGCATTACTACTTATGATTTTTTAGAGATTGGCAAGGATAATTTATCAATCTATATCTCAAACTTTCTTATCCCATATCAACCATTTTATAGAATAATTTATTTTTCATATAAATTTTTGTGAAAGTCTTTCATTTATTAAGTAGGATATGATTCGATATTTTTAAAATAAATGGAGAATAAATTTATTTTAAATTTTAATATACAATTTGAACATGTAAAATATCTGGTTTTTTGTATTTTTTTATTATCTCCTAAAATTTGATATAAATTATTCCATCCACAAAATAACCAAATTAAAATATATAAATTTAAAATTAGATTTTCTTGATGCATTATTTGTTGAAAGCATCCTGGGTTAGAGAGTGCTCACTATTAATAGCTTTTTCATCTTGATTAAAATAATATATGACACCATAACTCTTATAAAGCTTTTTCCAACTATAAAAGAGAGCCTAAACTTTGTTATAAGACAGGTTATATATATAATAATATATAGAAACCATGAACTATAAAAGAGGGCCTAAACTTTGTTATAAGACAGGTTATATATGTATAATATTATATAGACACCATAACTCTTGTAAGGCATTCTCGAACTATAAAAGAGGGCCTAAACTTTGTTATAAGACAGGTTATATATATATAATAATATATAGACTCCATAACTCTTGCAAAGCATTCTCGAACTATAAAAGAGGGCCTAAACTTTGTTATAAGACAGGTTACATATATATATAATAATATATAGACACCATAACTCTTGTAAAGCATTCTCGAACTATAAAAGAGGGCCTAAACTTTGTTATAAGACAGGTTGTATATATATATATAATAATATATAGACACCATAACTCTTGTAAAGCATTCTCGAACTATAAAAGAGGGCCTTAACTTTGTTATAAGACAGGTTATACACATGATAGCATCTATGTGTTTTTTCTGGCAATGTGTTTATTTTTTTCAACTTTAAATCGTTTTTTTTGAGCGCGTTTTTTTACATTTAAAATTTTGATTTTACCGGAAATGTATTCCGGCATGTTTAGAATACCTTACTTATAAATTGTAGATAATTTTACAGATAACTTTTGAGTCATTTATAATTCATATGATGAAAAAACTATATAAATTATTAGAGTTCAAAAGCGGAAAAACCACAATGATGCTACATACGAATCATTCTTATGATTTAATTTTGATTTAATTTTAATTGAAATTTAATCTTGCAAAATCGATAGAATTTGAGACCAAAATTAGTTTGCTATATTAAATTTTTTTAAATTAATTATTTTAAAATATTTTGCTTCTTCGCGAAAGAATAAGAGAATTGTTAAATATTAAAATAAGATTGAATGGTTTGACTTGTCCCAGGTTTTATCTAGTTACGATCTATTAAAATTTAAAACGCTAAATAATAGTTTTAATTTTAACTAAAATTTTTAAATTTTTCTTTATTTTATAAAAGTTGAACTGAACTAGTTTCTCTAAAATTAACAAATCTGTAAATAATTTTTTGAAAGATTTTGGAATCGAGCTAATTCAACTTAAGGCTGTGTTTAAAACATCAAAAAATTAAATTTACACACTTTTGAAACTTTAATGAAAATAAATAAATTAGCTATTTTAAATATAAAAATAAAAACATGGTCCAATAATAATTCTAGAAATTATAAATGTCTAAAATTCAACATACAATTTTATTAAAATTTTGAAATTTGCCAAATTTTTTAAACTTTTTGAATATTTTTTAAAATGGTTTGGACACCTAAAAAGAAACTTTTAAGTTTTAACCGAAACTCGGTCCGAATGAAAAAATAAATAAATTTTTTAATATGCGACACGATCTCATTTGAAAAAATAAACTATAAATATTTGAGCCAGCCTGAGATTTTAGAAGTGGATTTGAAGATCTATTAAAAAATTTAATTATAAATTTTTGAACAGGTCTGAGATTTTGGAACTGGATTTGAAGATCTTCTTGTCTATTATTTTAATTTTTTTTATTGCACTACAATCTTTATATATTAGATGATATATTGTCATTTTAATTCAGTATCTCTCAGTAAGTAAATAAAAATCTCAACATAGTGCTCTTTTTTATTAATTCCTACTTTTAGATCAAAAAAAGAGACACACGAAATACCGAATTGGATATAGTGAACACAGGAAGTGCGGAATTAGACAAAATAAAATCGGAATTCATTAATTTGTTTAAAGCCCACGTTCTAAAGCCGGCACCTAATGAAACATCTAAAAGTAAATCAAAAGTATTGGAGGGCATATTTTCATTCCTTCATAAAAATGTTCCATTTAATTCCTCTTGCTACGTGCAAAAATTTACAAATCAAAGCCTTCAACCAAAAATGACAATTGTTGACGAAGTAAAATCATTGTATAATTTTTTATTTTAAATTTAAAATTTTTATCTTCGATTTTAACTAAAAATGAAGCAAGTGAAATGTATATTTCTCAAATTATATTTTGAGAATTTTTAAATAATATAATATTCTTAGATGTATATAATTAAATTTATAATAAGATGTAAGTTGTAAAAAAATCAAAAACCTGCATAGCTCGGCCTACCTGGGCCGGTCTAAATGTTGTTCAAAATAAATACCAGGGCAGGACCCTATATTTTAATACCGAATATTTTAAACATTAATAGTTATGAAAATTGAAAATAAATGTATCATATTTTCCCGGGCCGGGCTGAACAATTTTTGAAAAGAAACCGGGCGTGCAAATGATACCTTCGCATATCTCTGAAAATAATAAATATTTCTCAATATTTTTTTAATGAATAATAAAGAGATTATTTTGAATTATAATATTTATTTAATGAATAATAAAGAGACTATTTTGAATTATAATATTTATAACTCTGCTCCATTCTGATTTAAAAAAAAAATTATTATGAGAATATTCAAATTAGTAGGGATAAAATAGAATATAATATGCTACATTTGCCTAATCAGTCAATACTCATGCCTTATTATGTGTGACATATTACAACATCTTCTGAAATTTATAGGGTATAGGTATTATACAGGTAAAATTAGATTTTTTAAATTTTAATTTTAAAGACGCACTAAATAAATGATTAGTTGGTTTTGAACAATTATTTGTCGAGGGCATTTTTTAAAAGAATCTATTTTGTCCAAAATGTATTCCAGTATATGAAGAATACTTTTTCTATAAATTTTAGACAATTTGGTCATGAACTTTTAAATCATTTCCAATTTATATTTTAACAATACATGGATCATCAGAGAGAATCAGAGACATTCATGAGCCTTGATTATTTGATCAGGCTCGGCCCAGGCTCGCGGTAAAGAATATTTGTAGGTCCAAGTCCACCCTAGTTTATATTTAATATTTAAAAATATTCTTAAGCCCTCCCAATAATAAGTTCCAAAAACTTTACCCGAGTTAGGTCCGACAAATTGTTTATCAATGAAAATAAACAATACAGTATATATTTGATCATTTTGTTTGCAATACTGAAATTTATTATTATTAGAAAAAAAATTGCAGTATATTTTTTTTAAGTTAGCAACTTTTTATAATGGTCTGTATGACAGCCCGGTCCATGAAAGTCTCTAACACGGATTAACTAAGATATTAATTAGCCAATATTCGTATTTACTGATTACGCGATAAAGCTAATGGGCTAGACTACTGTTTACAAGCCAGAGAGATAATTATCATTTTGCAAATTTTTTCCAGCTGTCTGGGCTCAGACAGATCAGGTTTATTTTATTTTGGCGGAAAAAATACGATAGTAGATGCGGTCCCCCCCCCCCATTTCAATCGGGTAAAATTAAACAGATAGTTAAAGCTGCTTTGAGTCTAAGTTATCAGTCGGAGTTCTTTCTAGGAACTCGCATCTAATAAGATACTCGTTTCAATTTAAAAAAAAACATAAAAATTAATCCTGTTCAAAGGGGTATACCAATTTTTTTTTTTATCCAGCTTCGACTACTTCAATATTTTTTTCACCCATTTACAAAAGAAATTTAAGATAAGATACGTCTTTAATTTATCTTTAAAATTCGTTTTATTTGAATTTATAATGGCTAAATTATAAAATATTATCCCTTTATTTTCGTCAACTTTCCCTTTATATTTTTCCATTTCTAGAATTTTTATATCATGTATTTTTTAAATACATTTTTGGATTTTTCTTAATTCCTTGTACCTTTTTATTTGTTGTCCTTATCGACCGACCCGTTTGAGTATTTTAATTTTTCTCTCTTTTCTGAATACATGTGTCTTTTCCCATTTTAGCATATGACTTAAATTTTATCTACTCTTATATTTCCACCCATTTTTGTAAGCAATGGACCTTATTCTTACAAAAAAATCTCTCCTGCGAGACATTTGGATTTATTTTGAAATTTGTTTTTGAAATATCATCTCTCCGATAAGTTTGCCAACAAATCAATCCACTTGTTCTTTGTAATGTTTATTCTCATTTAATTTGTAGAAATTCCACACTTAAATTTTTTTAAGCCACTTTCTCGTTAACAGATTTTTTTTAGAATGCTTTGTGGGTGTCTTAAATAGATTAAATCTATCATTCTCACTCATAATTAATGCCAAAGCATTTCTCCTTCTTCCAAGATCCACATCTTAAAAACTATCCCACTACTCAGAGAATAAATCTTTCCTGGGTGTAACTAAAAAATTAAATCATATTTTTTCATAATTCGCCTTTTTAATATTTATAATTGTTATATTCTGGTAACAACAGTGATTAAAATTTTCATATAAGTTGAGCTTTTAGTCTGAGCTTAAAACTTCCTTGTAAATACCGAGAAATACAAAACATAGTATATATCCTTTTTAGATCTAGGTAAAAAAAAAGGCACTGAAGGGAAGAACACTATGTGCCTAAAAAACGGTGCAATAGTTGTCCTAAAAAATATTATTCACGAGAATTGAATTCAACATTATTCATCTTTTGATTTCATATTGTTAAGTGTTAACATATAATACTTTCATATTGTTCATAAAATAATTTTATAATTAAAAAAATTAAATATAATATTTAATTGTATGATCAATCAAAGTTTTGTATATAGGATTTATTACCAAAAGAAAAGAAATGATAATAGTTGATACTGACAAGTGAATTAATTATGCTGCTTGGCACATAGAGATTACGGAAATTAGCTAGTTAGATGTGAACATTAGCTGCAACATAATAATATTAATCATCTATTCCTATTAATTTAACTATTTATGATATATTATCGACTTGTGTATATTAAAAAAGGGTACTATATTCATTTTTTAAAAAATTTAGGAGAGTATTTTTTAAAATGTTCTTTTATATACTGTAAATACGAAATCTCACTTTAATAATGCAAATAAATGATTATTCTAAATATATTTTAATATTTTTATTATTGATATGGTACAGTATAAAGAATTGATAGCTAAAAATAATGCATTTGACTTAAATGTTAATATAGAACATTATAATATTTTAGACGATATATACGTTATTTCCTCAAATTTGTCTTGTTAAACGGCTCATTTCGAGCCGATTGTTAAAAACGGCTAACTAAATATTTTAGCAGTATTTTAGCCAGAAAAATTTTGCCTAAGCCTCGAGATTTCGCTAATAGGTGTTTAGACCTTTATACTATCTATGAACAAATCTTCAGGTTTGCATATTATTTCCCTGGATAAAATATTGAGTTAACCGTTTTAAAAAATCGGCTCAAATATAACCGTTTAACAACATTATAATTAAAAATATTTAATTCATAATATTTATTAAATTTAATATTTTCCAAGAAAATTTATAATTCATATAAAAATATTGTGACAGCAATGTTGATTTATATATATATATTTTTTACCAAAGTGGAACTTGAGGGATGAACGAAAATATCTCGTACCATTGGCATCTTCGATATTTATGTTAGGAGGAATAGTAGGATCTTTCGTATTCGCCCTAATGTCGGATATTCACGGACGGAAGAGGGCATTTTTGTGTTCTATTTTACTATACTCTGTTAGTTCTGTTCTACCAGCCATTTGGTCACCGCATTATATCGTTTTTTCGATATACCGATTTTTTCAGGGAATGAGTCATTCGGTTTGAGTAAAATTTATTATTGTAAACTTGATTGCTCAATTGAGTCAATGAATTTTATGTCTAAATTAGTCATGTGATTATCTTAAGTAAAATCTTGACAAGGCATCTAATCAAAATTGTTTAGTAAAAGGTTGTTGTTGATTAATAGAAAATAAACAATCATGAGCTCAAAGTTTTAATTTAAAAAAAATAGCTTTCAGGGTTCTACTCATTATTAGTATGACATTTTAAATGATTTTTTTAAAGTTTTATCATATTTTAATTAATTTTTTTAAAATTTCATCATATTTTAATTTATAATTATGTTTTAATGAATTCTAATTAATATTTTTATTTATGAAATATTAGGGGAATTTCATGTGCCATATGGTACTATTGTCAGAACTTTTGCCCAAAGAAAAAAAGTTTCTTTTCACATTTGTGAGCACAATTTTTTTTACTCTTGGGCATATCCTATTAGCGATTATGGCATACTATCTACCAAATTGGAAAAATTTGCAGTTAGCCACAGGTATAATCAGCGCTTTCTATGTTCTACTACTATAGTGAGTTAATCTATTATATTATACATTTTTTTTTCTCTTTTCTCAGCCACCCTTATATTTGTTCACTTTTTTCATTTTATTCTTTGCCTTCTTTTACAATCGGTATATTTTATATGTTTGGGAACAGGCTAAATATTCTAAATTTACGGGAGATACCCCAAAATGCCCATTTAATTTAGCACGGAAATATAGATAGCATTTATGGGTAGTGTTTTTAATTATTTAATTTTGATTTTCCCGTACCTACTATATATTTGAGTTTGACTATTAAAAATTCTATAAATATTATAATTATATGTATTTATAAAAGGTATATATTACATTTTATAAGTTTTATAGACGAATCCGTATACTGGTTAGTAGCTAAGGGAAAAATGAAACGGGCTTCTAAATTGATAATTAAAGCCGCTCGATTTAATGGTAAGTTGAAAAATTCAGGTACTATGTTCAAATTTAATAACATAGTCACTTCTTTGCGAGAGGAATACCATCATATAACACCTACAAATAATACGCAAACTTTCGATAAATCTAAGGATGGATTACTTAAAAATGGTTGGTTATTATAGATCAACACTTTATATTATATCTGATCTGTATATACCTTTTTTAAAGATGATTTGAAAGTTTAAATTAATAGGAGAAAATGATAAAATTAAATAATATTAGCTCGAAATATAGTGTGTATAATAGATTCTTTTAAAATATTTTCATTTCATTGTTTAGTTTAATTCATTTATTATTTTTAATAACTTAATATTTTTAAAATGACTATTTCCTTAATAAACTTTGAAAATGAAAATATTTTTGTTATAACTTATTGTATAAGACAACAAAACAGAATCTGATTTAGCAACTTTAAGTGTTCCATTGGTTAAACCGGAAAATATAGAAGAAATGGAGAATATTATAGAAGTGAAAGAAAAAACAACAATGGATAAACTTAAATTACGATGGCCGCTAATGAGAAAAAACATATTGACTCCTAAAACAAAAGATATCGATAAAAATTTGGACATGACAGAACATTTACGATTTAGAGATATATTTGTGAAACCCATTTTAAGAGCTAGAACTTTTATGGCGGCTCTAAGCACGTATTATTATTTTTTTTAATATTGTGGTATCGTTAGATCTTTTTTTAATAAAACTACTATGATTTTCTTTATTTAGGCCCAAAATGCGACACGGTTAAAATATTTTTTGCATTTATATGCTTTACCCTTAAAAAACTAATGGGAAATAATATTTAAAATTTTATAAAAGCGTGGAATTTTCAATATGAGCTAGAATGATATATTTCCTAAGCTTCTTTAAAAAGTCAAAATATATTTTAGTTGGTTCAAAATATAATAAAAATCATAAATTATTATTCATTTCATTCAAATAGATTTTTCCTGTATCAACTCCATATGGCTCTAATATTTGGGAGTCATTTATTGCCTGGTAACCAATACATAAATTTTAGTCTAACTGGTCTAACTGAAATACCCATTAATCTCATCGGTCTTTATGCATTAAAGTAAACAAAAATTAAATATAATTATTTTCTCCATATCTTTTTTTTTACATCAAGGTATTTTTGATTATAAAAAACTAATTTATTTACAATTATTTATCAATCAAGCATCGATATTTTTGTAAAATTATAGGATAGGTCGTCGAAAACCACTTATTCTGTTTAATACTCTCACCGCTTTAGCTTTGCTCATTCGATGGCTAATTCCAACATTAAGTTTATTATTTTATTTATTACAAACTAAATGATTTTTTTTTAAACATTAAAAAAGTAAAATATAATATGAAAATGGTTTTTAATTACTACTTAAATTAAGTATAAGTGTAAAGCAGGTCCAATTCTAGCTTCGCTCATTTGGGTTGGGGGTTGGGGGAGGTACAGACAAAAATTGAAGGGGCCGTTAATAAATTGTTTTCAACACCATAGAACGAATATTTGAGTTATTTGAAAAACAAAATTAAAATGATTTTATTTTAAAAATACCACATAGAAATATACAATAATCAATTATGTTTAGAAAATAAAAATTGACTTTTAACTGGAAAGAATAAGTTGATTTAATGATTTAACAAATATTATATAATAACGTTAATATAGTATAATTGTGCTTGTATAATAGATATTAAGATTCAATTAAAAAAAAATATGTAATTTATAAAATATTTATAACTATATTACAATTGATATTATAATCATTTATTGAGCAGTGAAAACTAATAAAAATATAAAGCATTAAAATATAATTTTGGTTGAGATGTATTTTTAAATACTTTGAAAACATCAAAATAGTTTCGGTTATGTTATTTCCATGTCTAATAAAATCAAGTTACTCTTTCTTATATCACTACTCGAACGTTTATCTGATTTAATAATTACTTTTAATGGTGGATATAGAATATTTGAAAAACATTTGGAAATGCATTTTTATATGGGTATAGAAATTTGAAATCTGATCACAATATTAAAATTTTATAAAATTTTAACATAATTTTTTAACAATATCAATAACTAATCCCTCTTTAGTAATTAATAATGGTTTTAAATAAAGATTTTAATTTTTTTATGCCTAGAAAATAATGGCTATCTTAATTTAAATTTGCTAATTACTTTATATAAAAAAATTGGAAAATCTCTTGGTCTTATGATCCACTTCTTTAATGTATTCTGCAATTATAATGTTTCTCACGGCCCATGTATATAAGAACTTTCTTCCGGTTGGCAAAATCCGTTTTGGTATAGATTTGATTCACCATTATTTAAATTATAGATCTTACAAGGAAGGCAAAAAATGGCATAAGCTTCAATTAATTATTCAACCTTATACGTATTTATAAAACTTTCCATTATTAGTAACAGTCTTTTGGTATTGTTGTTAAAAAGTCCGATTTGGGTTCATTTTTAAAAACGGCCCGATTAAGGTTTTAGCCAAAATAATATTATGTAAGCCTCATCATTTGGAAAATAGATGTCCAAACCTATATATCCCATCTATAAAATATCTAGACTTACATAATATGGTTTTGATTATAATTTTGGGCTTTTTTAACACCCCTAGATGTTACCGCATTTGGTAATACCTGTTTTAAACAGTTGTAAAATATTTGCAATAAGAATAACTAAAAATCTAGCCTATATATTTAGTTTTTAGAAGCTCAGGATCATTTTCCTTGTTCTGAATCTTGACATCTTGATTATTTTCATTCTTCCACCAAATTAACTACATTTACATTTTCTCCTTTCTCATTACAATAATGGTGCGTTGGCGTTATTAGGTATTTCAGCAGATATGAATAAATCGTTTTTTAAACCGATAGGGGTTTGAATAACAATTATTTATCTCCCATTACTTTCTTAAAATAAATTTATCAAAAAATATAAAAAATATTCAGAAACTAAAAAAATAAGGGGGGGGGGCAGTTTGAAATTTTTTTGGCCCCTTCCCTTCCCCAAATAGGCCTAAAATTGGGACTGTATCCTTTCTATTACAATTAATAAATCTAAAAATGATTTCTTTTACTGTCTAAAAACGTTCCTATTCCACTGAAAATTGTATATACCTATCTTTTATTGAATGTAGTAAGACCCTTTAATTTTAGACAATTAAATATAGTTAATATTAATAAAATTTGTATTTTAGGTGGCAGACCAATAAATAATGCTCTTAACATAGCATTGTATATGATTGGACGAAGCTTCAATGGTGGAGCCTTAGTTATAACATTTCTATACATCGCTGAAATATATCCTACCGAAATTAGGTATATACTTATAAAAATATTAAATGTTATTATTTTCCATTTGTTTTACAAAAAAATTTTTTTTTAAAAGATTTGAATTTGTTAATTAACCCAAATTTATTTTATTATGAGTTACAAAAAGTTGTTTCACAATAAGGTCAGAATTTTTAGGAGGAGCATGGAATATTTCAAGTTGTGGGCATTTTAAGGTTTATTGTAGTATGAATGCCAATATTTTTATATTTTTAATTTTTAAAAATTTTTTTATAATTTTTAAAAATTTTTTTATAATTTTTAAAAAATTTTTATAATTTTTTTTACAGTAAAAGAATTAGATATTTATTTTTACTTCCTTATTTAATTTATTTTTTATATTTAAATACACGAATCCTCCCTCTTTCTAGTCACTAAACATTCTAATTTATAAAAACGTCATTTTCACAATTATCTTATAGTCTACCTCGGATTTCATTATCAGAGATATTAACCATATATTCACCATAGTAATACCTCCATTTCTTTCAGGACTCTATATCTAAAATTTTTTTCATTGTCTACCATCTCAATGCAATATGAACCCACCATCTTTTGAATTTCCCACTTCTACTCTCTCATCCTCTGATTCAAAAATACACTTAAATCATTTTCTTGAATGGCTTGGCTTTTATATAATATTTCTCAGGCAATTAAACCTGTAACATTTTGAGGAATTTAGAAGGATTGGGTGATTAGAACCGTTGTCAAATAAAGAAAGGTTAGAACTAAAATGATACTAAATCAGACTAATATCCTCGATTATATATACTTTTCTATAATATTCGTCAAAAAAGAAAAGTTAGAACTAAAATGATACTAAATCTTTATTAAATAATAAGATAAAAACATAATCAAAATAAATTAATATAAATTAAAATTAAAAATTAAAGATTAAATATTAAAAAGATTAAGTTCGTAAAATCATAATTTAAATCATAATTTCTCCTTATATATCCTTTTTCTTTAATCAACATTTGCATAGTCTCAATTTGTACCGAGATTTAATTCTTGTAGATTTGAATATCTTTGGGCTTCGTAATTTTGTTTAAAAGTAATTTGCCTATCTGGCGTTTTTCTTAATCTAGTAAATTTGCATGTTACCACAATTACAACACCTTTCCACTTAGATTAGTCCCACCATTCTGCGAATGATCTCCTTTCTTCCGATTTTGACTTTACTGATCTTGTTTCTCCACCAAATCTATTCGTCTTAATCTTTAATGTCTTCTAGTTTCTAACGACGGCGGTCTATTGTCTAATATTCTTCACTTCTAAGGACTGTTTGTATCTGATTACACTCTGAAATTCTTGATTCTTTCTGTTTCTTGTTAACCCCTTGTAAACGATTATCTCTTGATCTCTATATGCCATTGACGAATCTGTTATCATGATTCCCGATACATTCTTCTAGCTCTTTTAATTATATTTCGTTTTAATCCCAAATTATCCTAGTCTTTGCTTGTTTCTAACGGTTTCTAGTAACTAATGACGGTAAACGACTGCCGATAATTTGTCTGCGAGTAACGATGGTTTCCACGACTTCTTGTTTCTAATATCATCGATTTTTTATCCTATACTAAAGTTTTGATAAGCAACTGGCGATAATTTGTCAACGATTAACGATAGCATCCTGGTCTTGACCACTTGTTCTACCTAGTCGCTTGTCAAGATATCCACGTTGTCTTAAGATCTCTTATACGATAATAATTTCTTGTATCTTTTGATCCAAAATAAAAAATCCGATCTCTAATTGAGCTCGATTGCGGCATAAATTTTCTAATGACGAAAAGCCGTTTCTCTTTATGAAGATTTTGGTTAATCAACAACCTGATATTTTGCTAAATATTATCATCTTAAATAACAGTTAACCGTATATCTTTAATAAAAATTTATAACAAATTTCTTTTAGCTACATCGATCACTTGTACGTATAACGATCTCTTGTGACGAATTCCTTTTAATTAAACGACTAATTCTATTCTTTTCGAATTACGACCATTGATATTGACACCATGTTTCATTGACCTCATTCTTTGTCTTTGTGTCGATAGTCATTTCATACATCCCCTTCCCCCTTTATTTAGAATCTCTTTTCAGAGTTAATTAGACTGAATTATTGTAATGGCCCGGTCTCCTCCGCTCTCCAACACCAATGTAACATTTTTAGTTTTTCTAAGGATTGAGTGATTAGAACCGTTGTCAAATAAAGAAAGGTTAGAACTAAAATGATACTAAATCAGACTAATATCCTCGATTATATATACTTTTCTATAATATTCGTCAAATAAGAAAAGTTAGAACTAAAATGATACTAAATCTTTATTAAATAATAAGATAAAAACATAATCAAAATAAATTAATATAAATTAAAATTAAAAATTAATTAAAAAAATTAAGTTCGTAAAATCATAATTTAATCATTTTTTTCGCATCATAATTTCTCCTTATATATCCTTTTTCTTTAATCAACATTTGCATAGTCTCAATTTGTACCGAGATTTAATTCTTGTAGATTTGAATATCTTTGGGCTTCGTAATTTTGTTTAAAAGTAATTTGCCTGTCTGGCGTTTTTCTTAATCTAGTAAATTTGCATGTTACCACAATTACAACAAAACCTATATAACTATATTGTTTAAAATATCGAATATCTCGTTGTGAATTCCTTTCCACATAGCCAACTTTGTCTGAATATATAGTCCTTCTCCTTCGTGGGGTCCCACCTTAGTGAATTAATGTATGATGAAATACATAAAACGGACATCTACCGCTGATACAATCACACTAGACTCTAGATGGAATCTCTAGAAACTCCCAGTTCCTTCTTACTTCTTACATAGTGTTGTCAATAATTTGTACTAAAGATTATTCTAAATTTAAAAAGTATGTAATAATATACATATTTTCTTTCTCCTATCGAATTTATATGTTTAGATTAGAATACATTTAGAGCTAGATTAGTTATAATCAGGGTTGTGCATTTGACCGGTCAAATACGTTTCGGTCAATTGACCAATATTTGACCGGTCAAATATGGTCAAATACGGTCAAATGTGGTCAAATTCAAATATATGTTTTTTTAAAGTTAATATTAACTTTATTTTGAATATAATAGTAAAATAAAATATATAATATTAATTTTTTAAATTCATTGTCATCCAATAACTAACGTGTAGCTATTGTAGCGGAGTTCTTGTTCTGATTCATTTTCAATATTATCATTTTCTTTAATATTTTTTAATCAATTTTCCTGATGTCTTAGATCTTCAATCGATTTCCATTTTCATAAGAATATTAACCCTAATCGACCTATTTCTTTCTAAAGAAGAAGTAGAACTAGGAATTGTTAGTCTCTTAATGGGCAGGGTGGACAAAGTTTAATCTATTAACTACAGGTCGGAATTGATTATATCTGGAAATTACTACTTTCCGCATAATTTGCTATATTAAACATGCTGTTTTTGCTTCTGAAATTAATTATATCACTTAAAATATTTTGGTCATCACTATCTTGTAAAAGAGCTAATTCTTGAATTATATCACATACTTGTGAGTTCTCCTCTTGATATTGTGAACACAAAAAATAAGCAAACATTGTGATCACATGTATTTACATCTTTTTTCCCTTTTTTAAACATATTTTCAATTTATTCTTCCTTTAAATTTTTTAGAGTATTTGACCGTATTTGACAGGTCAAATACTCCTCCGGTCAATTGACCCGTCAATTGACTGAATTTGACTGGTCAATTGACCGACTTGCCAACCCTGGTTATAATACCTAAACTAATTTTATTTTAATAAAAAAATTTTTTTACTTTCAAGAAATTCAGGCTACGGCTTTAACAATGCAGTTAGCAGAGCTGGATATATGATATCGCCTTTCATATCATATTTGGTTAGCTATGGATTTTATTATATAATATTTACATTATTCGAGATATAAAATTTATACTGCTATTTAACTTTAAAAAAAACATTATTACAAGATTAAAAAAGAATTTAGATTTTTTATAATATTGTATAAACTATATTAACTGTTGAGGCCAAATATGAATATATTTTAAATTCGCTAGTTTAAACTGCGTTATATATTTCTCGGGCATTCCTTAACTTTGTATCTGGAACAAATTAAACTAACCTAATATTTGTACTATTTTATGTAATGAAAAGAGAAAATAAAAAGTATCTCTACATGATATTATTTATATTTACTCATATAAAATATTCAATAATAATGTATTTTTACTAAAAAAAAAACTAATAAGGAAAAATATCATACCGCATATTTCCCCTTACTAATGGTAGTGTTTTGCTTCCTATCGTCACTATTCACGGCTTTCTTGCCACCAACAAAAAATAAAGCAATGGCTAAAAATCTGTCGGATCTTACTAAAAATAACTAAATATTTGTTTTTTTTCTTAAATATATCTTGCTTTTTTTCTCAACCAATAATATTTGTAAATGAATTTAATATTTTGCTAACTTATGTTATACAACTGATATAATTTTACTTAAAACAATATATAATATATAAAATTATTCGGTTTAAGTCAAAACACAAATAATTAAATAAAATTATCGTGATGGTAATAGCTAGCGTTAAAATACATTTTTTGAAAAAAAATAATTGCAGGTTATATTTTTTATGATATAATGACAAAAATAACTAATAACTATCTAAAATATGTTAAATATTTAAATATATTTCTCCATTATTCATATGTTGATTTTCAAAATTTTGAATTACTACTGTTATATATAATGCTCCTTACATTAAGCGCTTCTGCGAATGTTTTGTTTAGTCTAGGGAAACTTATTTTTGAAGAAAAACTAGAGCGCCTTTTAACCAATTTTGAAATTGGAAAATAAATATTATATTTTGCTTTTATTTTTCAGCGCGAATAAATATTATATTATGAAATTCTTATCAGTGGAAATAAATACTTTACTCTGGTTTTTTTAGCGCAATTATTTCCTTATTTAAATTGCATTTTTATTTCCTTTGATTAGTATTGTAATTCGTAAAATTATTTTATATATATAATAAAAAAAATATATAAAAATATGAGGTAGTTATATAAATAATTTATAAAGAACCGTCCAATTTTATAAAAAATAATATTTAAATAATGCAACTCGTTACCTTTTTAAGAATATAACCTGCTACCAGTTACTTTTTTACAACTCTAAATATTATTGTAACATAAATAACTATATTAAAATTTTTATAGAAATTTAAATCTCTAACTTTTGTCTAATAATAAAATTATATATTCTTCAAAATGTAAAAAAAAATTAGTCTCTTTCAAATGGATAACATTTTAATAATATAGACTTTGATTCACAACATTCAGAAATATAGGTTAAAATATTTTATCAATTTAATTAAACTAGTAGAAAGCCCGTCAAAAATGACGGGGAATGAGATTTTTATTCATTTTTTACGAAAGATGTCATGCCAGGTTCAAGCTCACAATATTAGGAAGCATCCAAGATCTTATAATTATAAAAAAGTTTATCAAGCCCAGCTCAACCCTTAATTATTTATAAAAGATATCCCCAAGTCAGGTGCAAGCTAATATTAATTTTGAGGTTCCAAGTAGTGTTGTTAAAACGCCGCGAGTCGCGACCCCGACCCAAAGCTCGGGTCGTTTTATTCGACTCCGACTCAATGTTTGGGTCGTTTTTTTCGACTTCGACCCGAGTTCAAGCCGAAAAAAACGACTTCGACCCAAAATATGGGTCGTTTTTTTCGACTTCGACCCAAGTCCAAGCCGAAAAAAACGACCTCGACCCAAAATATGGGTCGTTTTTTACGACTCCGACTCAAAATTTGGGTTGTATTTTTCGACTCAAACTTGAAATTTGGGTCGTATTTTTCGACTCAAACTTGAAGTTAGGGTCGTATTTTTCGACTCCAACTTGAAGTTTGGGTCGTATTTTTCGACTCAAACTAGAAGTTTGGGTCGTATTTTTCGACTCCAACTTGAAGTTTAGATCGTATTTTTCAACTCCAACTCAAAGTTTGGGTCGTTTTTCTGACTCAGACTCAAACATCGGGTCGTTTTATTCAATCCGACCCAAAATATGGATCGTTTTTTTTAAAGACGCCTTAAAGTTAGGGTTGCTTTTTTTCACCTAACCAAATATCTAGATCATTTTTTTCGACCAAAAGTCAAATAACATTTAGTAGATATTAATATTATAGGCGGGAAAGTTTCTTAAAGCTTCTTTAAATTATAACGCTCTGGATTAACTATTCCATCATAGTTATTTTTTAAAATTTTTAAGTAAAGATGTACCATAGAAAAGAGCCATTTGTTATGATGGTTATTTTTGAACTTTTTTTAAATGAAATAGATAAAAATATATATTGTAGACATGTTAAATCAAAATTTCAGTGAAGATGTACCATAGATAAGTGACAATTGTCATAATCGCCATTTTTGAACTTTTTTGAGTTTTTTTAAAGCAAATTGCTAAAAATATATATTCTGAACATGTTAAATTAAAAATTCAGTGAGGATGTACCCTAGATAAGTGACAATTGTCATAATCCTTATTTTTTAACTTTTTTCAATTTTTTTAAAGGAAATAGCTAAAAATATATATTCTAAACATGTTAAATTTAAAATTCAGTGAGGATGTATCATAGATAGGTGACAATTGTCATAATCGCTATTTTTGAACTTTTTCAAATTTTTTTAAAGGAAACATCTTAAAATATATATTCTAAACATGTTAAATTTAAAATTCAGTGAGGATGTATCATAGATAGGTGACAATTGTCATAATCGTTATTTTTGAACTTTTTTCAATTTTTTTAAAGGAAATAGCTAAAAATATATATTCTAAACATGTTAAATTTAAAATTCAGTGAGGATGTATCATAGATAGGTGATAATTGTCATAATTGTTATTTTTGTACTTTTTTTAATTTTTTTAAAGGAAATAGCTAAAAATATATATTCTAAACATGTTAAATTTAAAATTCAGTGAGGATGTATCTTAGATAGGTTGTCATAATCGCTATTTTTGAACTTTTTCAAATTTTATTAAAGGAAATAGTTAAAAATATATATTCTAAACATGTTAAATTAAAAATTCAGTGAGGATGTATCATAGATAGGTGACAATTGTCATATTCGTTATTTTTGAACCTTTTTTAATTTTTTTAAAGGAAATAGCTAAAAATATATATTCTAAACATTTTAAATTAAAAATTCAGTGAGGATGTATCATAGATAGGTGACAATTGTCATAATCTTTATTTTTGAACTTTTTTCAATTTTTTTAAAGGAAATAGCTAAAAATATATATTCTAAACATGTTAAATTAAAAATTCAGTGAGGATGTATCATAGATAGGTGACAATTGTCATAATCGCTATTTTTGAACTTTTTCAATTTTTTTTAAAGCAAATAGCTAAAAAAATATTTCCTAAACATGTTAAATTAAAATATCAGTGAGGATGTATCATAAATAAGGGACAAAAAATGGTTATTATATATACGAGTAGTTAGGTACATAATAATTTTTAAGTGATAAAATGAGATGCTAATATATTTCTTGTAATTTTAATTTATAATAAAATTCTTAAATATGTTATTGTCATAGACTGGGTTAGAAAATCAACTATCACATAAACTCCTATGTTTTATTCATATTATATTTTTAAGTTTGAGGATATTAAAATATTTCCTCTTTGAAGTTACTAGTTAGGATAAAATTTACTTGGCACATCTTACAATGATATTTATACCTTGTTTTTTTTTTCGAGAATAAATTTTATGCGATATCTCATGAAGGAAATTACATATCATTGTACAGAGAATTAACTTTGTATATATTATCTGCACCCATATCTTTTATATCAATCTCTATCGATGACATTTTAAATTATATTGGAAACTAGATTGTGTAGATTTCTTAATATTAATTTAAAATAAGATGCTAGAATTAATTATAGATATATCTTAATAATTTGTATATGCATTTATTATTTAAAATCTCTCGTTTTAACCCTATTTAGCAAGAAAAATATTGACTAATCCTGAAAATTGGACAACTTTTATTAATAAAATTTATGTTACTTATTAAAATTAAATTATAATTTTAAAAACAAAAAATGAATAAAAAAAAAAATTAAAATTTAATTTGGCTACCCTCAAAAATAATAAAAAAAATTTGGAAAGTTAAAAAAAATGATTATTAATCATATCCCTGACAATGAAGAAAAGAAAAAATCTCAACAAATTTGCCGTCTAGCTGGCACCACGCTAAGTAAAATAAAATATCTTTTTTAATTTTAGAATTTAAATAGTCACTTCACTTCCATATGGACTTTTTAAACTAATAAAACAATAAATTTTTTTTATAAGTATTTGCGATTCCGGATGCATTTTTTTTATAAAATATGAATTTTTTTAAATATAGTTTAGTAATTTAGGCGAGCCATATTTTTCAAAAATGTAGTGTTAAGTCGAGTTTTTTTAAGTCGTACTGTAATTCTGAGCGTTTTCCGTACTTTTGCATGATGGCTAAAGATTTTTTGTCGCAGCAAAGTACATCCGTTGAGAGCGAGCGTGTCTTCTCAAGAGGGGTGGACACCGTAACAAAGAAAAGAAATCGCATGGCCTCCGAAACACTTAAACAGTGTTTATGTTTAAATTCATGGGATATCAATATCATGAATAATAAATTTTATATATAATTTTTATATCTATATATATTGTTAAATTAAATTTTTTGTACATTAATAAATATATATAATTTAAATAAAAATATTTAAACTATAAATGTATCAAATATTTAAGATGTTTTGAGCTTAGTATTCTTGTTTCAGGCTGTTGTTTTTTATGAATACTGGAGAATATTAGTGTTTTAATATTATTTGACTTTAAATTGATAACTAAAATAGTTTTTGATATTAAGATATAGAATTTTGAACACTTGAGAAAAATTACACATTAAAATTGATACTGGGATTAACTTTGAACCATGTTATAAAGCGCTTACTTTTTTTCAGGCGTTAATTATTCACTATTTTATTAAGAAGAATATTATGAGAGCAATTTTTCTCATAGATTATATAAAGGTATAGATATCTATTATCAATTTCAGGATTAGTCAATATTTTTCTTGCTAAATAGGCTTAAAACGAGAGATTTTAAATAATAAATGCATATACAAATTATTAAGATATATCTATAATTAATTCTAGCATCTTAATCTTTTAAATTAATATTTAGAAATCTACACAATCTAGTTTCCAATATAATTTAAAATGTCATCGATAGAGATTGATAAAAAAGATATGGGTGCAGATAATATATACAAAGTTATTTCTCTGTACAATGATATGTAATTTCCTTCATGTATATCGCATAAAATTTATCGAAAAAAAAACAAGTATAAATATCATTGTAAGATGTGCCAAGTAAATTTTATCCTAACTAGTAACTTCAAAGAGGAAATATTTTTATATCCTCAAACTTAAAAATATAATATGAATAAAACATAGATGAGTTTATGTGATAGTTGATTTTCTAACCCAGTCTATGACAATAACATTTAAGAATTTTATTATAAATTAAAATTACAAGAAATATATTACCATCTCATTTTATCACTTAAAGATTATTATGTACCTAACTATTCGTATATATAATAACCATTTTTTGTCCCTTATCTGTGATACATCATCACTGATATTTTAATTTAACATGTTTAGGATATATTTTTTTAGCTATTTCCTTTAAAAAAATTTGAAAAAGTTCAAAAATAGCGATTATGACAATTGTCATCTATCTATGATACATCCTCACTGAATTTTTAATTTAACATGTTTAGAATATATATTTTTAGCTATTTCCTTTAAAAAATTGAAAAAAGTTCAAAAATAGCGATTATGACAATTGTCACCTATCTATGATACATACTCACTGAATTTT